GCATTAACGGGTATCTAAGATCGGCTTTCGCAGTGGCAATCTATCTGCTCGCGATGGCTATCATGAACTGAACTCTCCAAGTGTATCCCCTAAATTTTCCATCGTAATTAGAATTCGGGAAACGCCAATTGGAAGTGTTATATAGACAAAGAATCTACATGGTCCACGGTCAATATCCAGCTCTGCTCTCCCAAAATCGAAAAGTGCACGGTGGCTGGTAGGTCCAATACCAAACTTTGATGTCGATGTACAACGAGGCAATTGGGCCGGGCCTTGCGGGCAGATCCTCCTTGTAATACAAAGCTCCAAGCTTTCTAAACTTTGTTGCGGCAAGGGACTCCTCGATGTCAACAACCTGCAGCACAATCTGGGCTTTCTGCTTTCCCTTCATGCCTTACTATAATTTGCTCAATGTCACGCCAACTTGTTTCTCCATGATGATATACTCGGCTCCAACAGCGTTATCTGACGCTCTAGAGCTCCATGCGTAGACCCTTGGAACTGATAGACCGAGAACATTCCGCAGCTAATGAAGTCAGCCCTAGCTATAACATACAAGCAGCTTTTAAGAGAAAGAAGAATAGAGACCATACAAAGTCCATAGTTGCGACCTCACTAGCGGTAGTAAAGTGAGGTCTGCCTGCATTGGGATTCGGTAGTTTAGCAATCACCTCTTGCCCATCATTCATAATAAGCATAAACACTTTGTTATACTGCCCCTCTGAGGGTTTAACGACTCCAATGCAAGAGTCCGATCCAGTGACAGAGGCAGTCAGCTCCAAAAGTTTTGCCAGGCCAAACTTGACGTGGCGACATGCACATTGCTCTCTCTCTCGCCAGAGCCATCGACCCGAAGTGAACCTGTTGAGTGCCTCCAGGTCATGCCTCGTGTCTAGAACGCGCAAATCTGCCGTGGTTAGAGATATTCTGTCATTGACACTAGACACGTTATTGCCTCATACCTCTCCGGTCTCTCTTAATTTGATGCATATTGCGAGTAAGGGAAGAGAAGTAGGATTTCATCAATCTTCCATAAAGAGACGAGGCCATTGGCAGATGGTTATGAGGAATATTACCCACTATGGGCTTGCGTAGGGTCTTCATATTTCCAGCGAAGGTAGGAGCTATATTAGGTGACGTTTCCGAGCGACGAATCGACGTGAAGGAGGACTGATTCGGATTACCTACCCGCCCGGGTCTTGCTTGACATCTACGCGCTGTCTACGGAGATACTCTCGTTTATGGATGGAATAAGGATATAGATTGATCACCTCGCCGCTTTATACATGCTAGCTAAATGGTTAATAGAGGCAGTGCCTTATTTCTAGGCGAAATCTGATCTTCCCCAGTCATTTACCAAATAGTGATCAGATCAATCCATATCAGGCCACCACCCTCAGTTGATCGAGTGCCTTCTTGAACGAAGCCTCTGTATCCAAAGGCTCACTGAAGATGTCTAGATTGAGCTCATTAGCATTGGTACATCCTCCACAAGCTTGGTTCAACGGATACCGAGCATACCTCTTAGTTTCTGTCCCAGTCTAGCCCCTCCAGATCCTCCCAATCGAGAAATCAATTTCGTCAGATCCGCAGCAATCCCCTCATAGAGTTTCAAAACCGAGCAGAACTTGTCTGTCTGTAGATTAAAGATAAAGCTTGCCTCTGTCTGCTTGCCGTAAGACAATTGTGCCTGAGATCTGGCTATTCAGATGGTCAATAAGCAAACCTTTCGTTAACGAAGGAAGTAACTTACTCAACGCGTTAAATTTCGGCCACTTGAATTGACTGGAGGCTAGTCCATCTTTTGGATTCTTCGCAAATGTCGCCCATGCATTCCGCATATAAGCCGCCGCCTTGGCTTCATAGTCTGTATCGTCGACCCCGGTAACAGCAGGAGCCGTCCCAAACAGCGGAAGAAGATCTGAGGTATGATACGCAGACCCAACAGGAACGATATACGTGTTGCTATAGTTCCCACCATAATATCTGTATCGCCAGACAGGAACGTCGTGCAGTTTTCGATACCCGGCAGCCTCGGCCGCGGGACACGTGAAGCCCGCCAGAGTGAGAATATCACCTAGACGCTGGAGGATATTCATGGGAAGCGCAGCGACTTGTTCAGCCGTGAGGTTGGAGTATGCTAGCGCCGTGATGAGGAAGAACCCGGCCTCGTTGTCGGTGTTCCCCGTCATGAAAGGAATCCGAGCGAAGTTCCCGGCTTTGCCTTCGGCTGCGATATCTTTGGGGATGACTTCACCGTCGCCGACAGGGAGGAAGCCACCTACTAGGCCTTGGCTGCCTATTGACTTGATGGCTGTTAAGAGGTCTTCCTGACTCTTGGATCGCATGCATGACACCGTGTCTTCGCCGGCGTCTGAGCCACCACATTCGAGAGTGGTGGACACATTGAACCAAGCTTCACGGATATCAGCAGTGCCAGAAGATGCTGAGAGCGATGAACTGGCAGCCCCAGAGTGAGCGATCAAGCCGTGTGCGATGGGGTCTTTGGGGTAACTGTATGCCAGAAAGTCTGTTGAAAGGCCGCCGGCGGATTGTCCGAAGACCGTAATTCGAGTTGGGTCCCCTCCGAAGCGTTCGATGTTGTCTCTAGTCCATTCCAGGGCAAGCCGTTGATCGAGCAATCCCACGTTCCACGGTTGACCGGGTGCTCCGGAGAATCCAAATATGTTGAGACGATAGTTGAACGAGACGACTACCACGTCGTTCTCATCTGCAAGGATGGAGCCGTCGTAGACAGGACTCGAGGCACTGCCAATCGAGAAACCTGCATAATCAGAAGACTTGTTTGCATTGTTGTCGGTGGTTACTCACCTCCACCATAGATCCAGAACAGCACGGCTTTCTTCTTCTCCCCCTCCTGGGGTTTCGTCCAGATATTGATGGTCAGGCAATCTTCATCAAGAACGCTATCTTCTTGCGAAAGAGCTCTAGTAATCTTCTCGCCGACGGGACCACCAAGGTGTGCTTGGCGCATAGGGATGCGATTAGAGGGGCAGTCACTATTGTCGATGAGTATTATGTCCATCACAGATGCCCAATTACTTACGGGCTCTGTGACGTGTTAGCTGCGAATTGGATTCGGGTACAAAGACTCACATAAGACGTTGCATCAAATAAGCCACTTGCCCTCTCCACGGCTACGGGGGCCGCAAAGCGCAACTCACCCTTGGGTGACTTTGCGTACGGAATGCCCAAGTATTCGAAGACATCAGCTCGCAAAGATGAAGCTTTTCCTTTCACAGTGCCGCTGGTCGTGTTCACCGTGTCACCCACGGTAAATGCATTGGCAGTTGAATGCGACCAGATGATCGAGTAGGAGAGGATATAGACGAAGGCCTGTTTCCAGTACATGGTGGCAGATTGCTTAGATTCTCTGTAGATTCCCTATAACTTGGTGGCAGGAACGACCATGATGCATATTATATACCCAGTCGTGCGAGTTCAGCCGCGGTATCAGTCACTACAACCGCAGTTCAAGAACGGCTCTTCTTGACCGAGGCTTCGCTTTTGATACAAGGGTTCGGGTCTCAGGCTCTTGGCCAAAAGTTCATTTTCCAGGATCTATCACACGATAGCACCATCCATAACTTTGAATGTAACCTTTTCTCTAACAACTTTTGAACATAGGAGGGCCGTGCCCTCCAGCGGAGCCGGATTCAGGTAATGAAGCAATGCCAATATCTTCAATCTCCTCGGCAAAACGCCTTGTACTATCTATTAGGTTAGCTCCTGCAGTTGGGATATTAATCACTCATTCTCGGCATGATACGCCGGTATTCAATTGGAACGTTCCCTGTATTTTGCCTATATTCGGTACATCAACCGAGGCATCCAGCTGCTTGGCAGATTCGACATATCGCCGACAACATGGTTAAATAAAAGCGGGGTTCAACAAGGCAAGTACCGATGGACGGTAGTTGCTCGGATGTTTCAAATATGTGGAGTTGACCTTATGGGATTTACATCCAGAGTCGCTGATCTCAAACTACAATTTGGGTCCCGGGGTACTCTAAACTATGTATGTAAAAAGTCGGCGGATTAATTTACCAGGCCCGGCTAGCTCAATCGGTAGAGCGTAAGAATTCGTGAGTTGCCCCTCAAACCGGCCCAGAAATTAGGTATCTGTCACTAACACACACTCCTAGTATGAGTCCATACATATGGTCCGTTAAGGTATCTTAAGGCTGCGGGTGACCCCCGCGTTGGGCTGCTTATTTTTTTGTCAGTGGGGCAGTAGTAGTAGTAGGTATCCATCCCTCATGAGTGGCTCTCTTTTCTCTCCATCTAGATCGGGTTAATTTATCTAATTACAATAGCCTACCTTACACCCACCGTGGTTATGTCTTACAAGGGCCGAGCATCACAATAGAAAAACGCGAGTATCCCTTCTCATTGTCGTCGATCTTCCTCTTTTTGGAATCTGTCCCCATAGACCCAAACATGCTATCCAATTTCTGCCGGCCCTTCGCGTGTTTCTCAACTTTTACTTCTTCGAAGCGAGGACCGGGGAAAGTCCCTGCACTCTTTGTTTGGCCACATCCAGTAACAACGTCCCTTTCACGCTGCTTCTTAACTGTTGGAACAGACCAGGAATTCGGTCCTGCCGATTTGTATGCCAGCTTATACTTGGATCCACTGAGGCTCGTCTCGTAAGTGTTCGCATCGACGTTCTTGACATACTGCGGATGCAAACCCTACCTTACCATCACACCTACCTCGCCTCCGCCGTATCGCACAACCAGTCCAATCTAATCCAATCCAAGACACCACGGTATACCATGCCTGATGTCCAACGATGAACCAGTGATACTCCCTGCCAACGGGGGCGCCACTTCCCTGGGGCGCGTTCTTCGCGCGTCGCTTGGTCGTTCGATGATCGATTTGTCACAGATCCGGCTCCTCCTTCGTCTCCTTCCACATTCCCGGCTCATAGGTCCAAGTGTAGGAGCTTCCGACCGCTATCCCGAGTAAATCTGCCCCTAGTATGACTTCAGTGCGTTGTAGCCTCCGGCACCGACGAAGCCGTCTGAATCGCGTTGCTCACGTCCCATGGATGGCTCGCTGATCCCCATTACATCCGCGGGTATCTCGTCGTCGTCGTCGTCGTCGTCGTCCCAGAATTCGGTGGGCTCGGTTGTCCGGGGACTAGTGCTGGGACCGGGTGGAGCCTCTGCGTTGACCACCCGGACTGGGGCCGGGTGGTCGTCAGTGCCGGGGCTATTCTTCGCGGACGAGGGAGGCGAGGGTGGATTCTGATTCTGGCGTTGGTCAGTCGACCCATTCTTCCTGACGTTAGGGAGACATGGAGAATTCTGTCGTTGGATCGGGAGGGGAGACGAGGAGCGAGAAGGGAGATGAATGATAATCTGGTGGGGGCAGGCGTACGAATATGGCTGCGCATCCCCTCGGCCATTGACGTCATCGGGCCCGTCTCCGAGGATTCCACAGGTCTACCGATTCGATGGGATTACCCTTCTCAGGAATGCTGGAAAAGGGATCCATCTGATCGGCGTCTATTTTTAACATTGGGCATGCATTTTCCCTTCGATGGCAGTTGCGATGGCAATGTTGATCGTGTGGTGCGTGGTGTGCACAAGTACAGCGTGCTCCAAATCATATTCACGGCGGCGTTTATTTGCAGCCCACTATTTGTGGAGTGCAGCATAGATTTGCAGGTTATGCAATATCCGACCTGTGATCAGTGATCACTGATCAGTCCGGTCCGACAGAGGCCCGAAAGGATCGACTAGACGAGTCGAGAGTCGAGAGAGGTACAGAGTAGCAGCAAGTGTGCAAGCACTGAGCAGAGACAAGAAGGAGAAAGAGATCACCGCCACGACGTCATTCTTCCTGCCGGCCAGTCCCGTGATTGGCCCACAGCCACATTTCTCTCCGTCGGGAATTATGGGGAAAACCCTGACTCGAAAAAAAATAAGAAGAAAGCCATTGCTAGACTACTCCGACTAGTTTTACGGTGTGTCGGGTGGAGGACCGACTGAAGAACACATCCACTTGGTGCCAGGTGCAGCATGGCGGACGAACCATCGTCAGCCCCATCATTCGCACTGACGGTCTATCATGGAGGGGAACGCCATGGGATGCGCCACCAGAGGTCTCTCCATCGACAGCTGACCTCATTCCAAAGCATATCACTCTCCTCCCACCCGGGATGTCGTTCTATTTCCGTCGTGTCGCATACCACACGGATTTTCCATGCAGCGACAATGAGCCATCATCCCCACGTCCCGAAATCTCGTTATAAGTACGCGGTAAGTCATCTTCCGATTCCTCCAGGACCGCCCCGACTCATGACTCTTATATCTTATACAGCCAACTCCTTCTCGTCGGCCGTCCTGCCATCCCTGCACGGCAAACTACGCCAGCACTAAACCGCGTTAGCGCTCCTGCATCATCTTCAGACCTTTTTTGTTTCCGGCCCCGGTCTTGCTCCTCCTGAACTGCCCCTCCGCTCATCTCCCGTTGATCCACCGTCGCCGTGGATATATTCTCCGTCCTCTGCCTTTTTTCCTTTTCCTTTTCCTTTTCTTCCCTCTTCTTCTTCGTCAGCTCTTCATTCATCAATCTACTCCCCTCTTGTTGTCTTTCCATCCGACCAGAACCTCCATATGGAGAATAGGGCTCACACTCTCATCCCGTGACCCTCTGTCCCTCCAGTCTCGATCTCGACCACCATCTCTCCTCAACCAATCTTCAACCACCTCTGAGTCCCCTCCACCCAAACCAAACAGAAACAAGGAAGAATGCACGAAATGCCCTCCAAATTTATCGAACTCCTCGACCCCGAAGACTCGCCCCTCAAGATCTCCGACTCGGACGTCCGTCTCGAAGATGTGCTCGCCTCGCACGACGCGTTCGTTAGCCGCCGACGCTCCTCGACGCAGTCTTCCTCCAAAACCAGCATCGAGAAGGGCATCGAGAAGGACCGCGAGCAGTCCTCGTCGCCGCCGCAGCGGTGGAAGCGATTGAGTAATATCCTGGTTCCGGCGAAGAGGGCGTGATTCTTCCGCCTATCCTCCGTCCCTCGTCGGCGTTGCGTCTCGTCTCGTCGTGCGAGCTGGCGACCACGATACTCAGACATACGCGCCCTACATTTTATACCTTCCATATATACTTGCGTATGATGGACTTACATATATACCTACACCTGTCGGGTCTGAGACAGGCAAGAGAGGATAGATATTATACGATGCGATCCGACACGGCAGTCTACATCTAGATTCGAGTCGAGTCAAGTCGAGTTGGATGTTTATTTCACCTACCCATCCACCCCCTCTTATGTTTTTCATGAATGACGGATACGAACAAAAATGATTGATATGATATGATTTTCTTAGCGTCGTTTCACGTTAGAATTTACCTACCTGACTTACGTGCTTTCCCTGTTTTCTTATACCCGACATACTCTTCATTTTATGCTGGCTCCGATCTTAAATGACCGATCGGCGAATTCGCCCTTCTTGAACTACCTACGCTTTTGACGCTCCGATACGATCCGTTACGATACCCATTTTCAACTTTCTCCCTACATATCTCTGCTAAATTTTGGCTGTGTTACCATACCTTACCTCCACTTCCTCACGACTGTAAAATATACCTATCAAAAACTCTGTAACCAAAACCAAGCGAAAGCAACCTACAAAACCCAACACTCCCTTCAGTTACACCTTTTTCTTTTCGCTTTCTTCCCCTCTTTCCTTTCTCTCTCGCATCCCTATCGTCGGCAGGTAACCAGCCCCTACCTACCCCGAGTAACACCAAAATTCCAAAATGCTCTAACCTCAGCAACCCCTACCCCTCCCTCCAAAGAAAACCCCCAAACAAAAAACATCTCTTTGAATTCCCTTACTAGACACAATAACCATGGAAATTCACAGCGCGGCCCAGTGGACAGCCTATAGGTCCAGACACCGGGCGAGCACAATTCTAGAGCCGAGCCTTGTCATGTGAGTAATAATAAACCAACAATCGCAACAATAATGCACCTACCCCGTAAACAAGCAAGCATGCATGCAAGTAATTTCCTTTGTCTCGGCCTCGGAGTACACAGGTACCTAGGTACATACCTACCTAAGGTAAGGTCAGCAAGGGGTGGAGAACACCGGTTTGATTATCATTGGTCCCTAGGGAAATGATTTGGTTGGGGGCTAGGGTACCTATGTATCTACCTAGGCCAGACCACTACCACCCACGAACAACCTATGATGATCCCTGTCATTGTCATATTACTGTTGTTGTTATAGGTACGCTGCGTGGATGATAGGTGGGAGGAGTCAGGGATGTATTCCGTGTGATGGGGCTTGGTGGTTTGTTGTTGGGGTCCAGGCCGTGGAACGAACGGGGCCTTGTGTTTTACCCTACCTACCTAGGGTCGGAGGGTCTCGATCGTGCCTTAACACACCGTATATGGGGTTTAGATCCGATGTGCACGAGTAAAGGGTAAATGACCGCGGCTATAGTATACAACTCCAGGGGGTGATGACTGAGCTCATTGAGATTATTTGGGAAATTTGTGAATTGATAATTTGGTATCTTGGTGTACTGAGAGAAGGAATCCCGTGCTCACAGCACCCGCACAGAAACATACGGCACGACACGTACAGTGCCAATAAGCCCGTTATCCACGGTTCCTGGAACGTCCATCTCCATCAGCTCGAACTCCGGCGACCGACCGGCACTTTTCAGTTTATCCAGCATGGTCCGTAAATAGTTCCACATGGTGGAGGGCACTTCGACGCGAACCTCATTCCGACCGCGGACAAGGTATTCTCCGATGTCAATCTTCGGTGCATTATAGTCGAAAGCGGGGACGCGGTTGTTGTTGATGAACACGCGCGCGCCGTTGGGCGTCTTGGGAAGGAAAAGGTAGGCACCGTCGGCGGATTGGCGCTCGTTGGAGGCGGGAGGCCAGGTCAATGAGGTGGAGTAGTAGCCTAGACCGGAGGCGTTGGCAATGGCTGGGATCTGCTGCCAAGAGATGAGAGATGGGAGGTGGTGGGTTGTATTGTGCTTCACGGCGATGGTGGATGCGTCGTAGAGATTCGAGGGACGCTTCCAGTGCTCCACGGTCAGGGTCCAGTTGGATAGTGTATATGGTTCACTTGGGCTTTTGGTCGTGTGATCGATGGTCTTGCCGTTTGACAGTGTAAGGGGGGTATCGTCTGAATCAGCGGAAATGTGAACTTGCAAATCTCTAGCGCTGTTGCCATACTTATATCCAATGACTGAAGATGGTACCTGGGTTGCGTGGGGTGAACTGTTTCCGCCCGGTACGAAGCCGATGATAACGGTTTGGTTTCCTACCAACTGAAGCGGGATCACGGTACGTCCGGCCTTTTGCTCGTACTCAAGAACAGGGGTTTGCTTTCCGGTCCAGGTATCGAAGATATAAGGTCGCTTAGTTGTCGCCACGCTGATATTGCCGGTTGACTCGTCGATGTCGGAAAAGAGATACACAAACTCAGTACCATCCTGATGAGTCCTCCAGGTCGGATACCACGTCCCATTACTCTGTAATTGCACGCGTGGTGTGATTCCGAGATCAAGAAGCTGCGTCGCAGTCTTTCCCGAGGAAACAATATGGACATTACTTGTTTCTCGTAGAGACGAGATCTCCCGCGTCAAACCTTCGGTGTTTCCATCCTTGGAGATGTACGCGTTTGGAAGACCACCTGACAGAATGATCGGCAATCCAGCGCGCGCAAAAGACTTAATGTCTCGCACTGCTTGGCTGGTCAGATTAGCTGAGCTAAGAATGACCATCGCGCGGAAGTTCGGGCCTTCAGGTGCAAGGGAGCCATTCTTTACGTGAGCCTGCGGTAGGGCGAAATTGTCGGGTGAGAGATATGAGTATGTGAAACCTTTTGGTTCAACGTTAGCAAGCTCAGCCAGGGCGATAAGATGCAAATTCATTCTTACCTTGCTTGGAAAGGTCGGTCTCGTTGTAGACAGTCGGCCAATACCCATCTGTAGCTGAGTCCTTGTTGTAAACAACCACGTCGATCTTGGGCTGTCCTTTTTGCTGGATGTACTGCACTCTCCCCATGTAATTGAGGGCCTCTGATAGACCGTGATCCCAAAATGGAAGTTTCTCCGAAAATAAATCAGCAAACAGATACCAGAATGGCGTGTTCCCGGGCCATGTGGTGGCAAGGTAATCGCCCGTGTAGGTCTGCCCATGCAGCACAACCTGATTGACGCCTCCGGAGACGGCACGACTGATTTGCCACAATAGGTCGGTGATGCTGTGCTGGTATCCCTTTGACTCGACGCCTCCCATTTCATTGGAGATGACCCGTTTTCCGGTCAGAACGGCAGGGCCCGCGAATTGACGGTATCCATCAACATTGTCTTTAAATTGCAAGCTTTCGCATTCGGGCGCGTTCACCACGGGTATACTTGCCAGCGCATCTAGAGGCAAATTGTACGAGACTTGCGACGAGAACTGCAAACTCATCTCGTTGGCCCAGTCGGTCAGGTGCTGAAGGTAAGCGCGGTATCCCTCCTGCAGCGCACTTCGGAAGTCATTGATATAGCCGATGCCTTGATCCGGAGTATCCAGCACACATTGAATCGTACCCGGTGCACCACTCTGGATATTGATGTTGTTGTTCTTGTACATTATCAACGGAAGATACGTCTTGAGGCTGTAGCCGTGCTTTTTCAAGAAGATTTCCGGAAGGGCGCGAGTCCACGACATATTCGATTCGATCTCAATGCTATCCTCCCAGCCTTCGTCTTATTAGCCACGACACATATTCTCTCGATTTTTCAACGTACCATAATTGCCAACTGCAGCAAGAAGCGATTTGACCTCGTCTTTAAGGATATGCTTTTCCCAGAATCTAGTGACCGTCTGTGCGCCTCGGGCACTGTAGTGGTCCACAGCAAATGATCCGTGGTCAAAAGTCGATCTAGAAGCATTATTAGTACTCGGATAATTGGTATGTAGAGTCAAATGCTGATAGAACGCGAATAATCTGTGGCCTTGGCCGCCTGTCACAGTGGGAAGCCTCAACTGCAGTTGGCCTGCCGAAGATACATTCCGTGACCATTCCTGTAAAGTCGCATTCTTGAGCTTATATTGTGTGTAGTTCGGTTGTGTCTCGAAGATGGGGATTCCAGCTCCGGGATTGCTCAGGTTTCGACTGGACAGCACTTGGGCTGAGACCACTGCCACCAGCTCTCCTTGGCCCCAGCCAGGAACCAGGTCATTAAAGACGCCATTCGATGGGACAGCAGCTGATGCATATGACTAGATCTCAATAAGTCAGCGTAAATCAACGAGTCTTCGAGTATATTAAACACATACCAAGTCCCACTGGAGACCTTCATCGTCAACGCTGGCTGGCACCCCCTGTCCTGCAGCTGGTCCAATCGAAAAGTCCATCACCATACCCGCATCCTTATGAGCCCGGAGAGCAGCCTCGAAGATGTCCACAAAATCAGGCGTCCCGAATCCATACTTCGACCAGTCTGCCTCAGGCACCGACTCTCCGTAATTGTAGTAGGGAACGAACTCGACGCCACCGGCCCCAATAGCTCCTGCACTTTTGATATTCTCCTGTACAATGGTCGCATTCACGCTGGCATCTGGAAGCCAGTACCGAAAACGAGGCCGGATACGGCTCGAGGGGCTCTCAAAGCTCCCATAATCCAGGTCCGCATTGACTTGATCGTTCACTGCCGCCAGTCCGTACTGCGGTAGCAGCAAGGTAGATAGAAATACGAGTTTTCTCATGGTGGTTTGTATCTGGCGGATGTGGTCTCCTGTTTTCTCCCCTGCGCGCAACCCAGTTTAAGTCCTAACACACGCAAGACAAGATCGTCAACCACGATCCGAGCATGTTCGGTGAATCACCTCCCGAGATAATGATCGTCCGGAAATTCCGAGGTGGCCCAGTTCGGGACATAACGAGTGGACTCCTCTTTTCTTGGTATATTGTGGACCCGAGAAACGGTTTTGCGCATGGACAATGCTGACCTGTGAGTTGAGAGAAACTGTTCAACCTGAAAGCAACATAATGAAGCGCCAGAATTTCAAGAACGTGTTCCTATTTCCTAGTCATTGCTGATTCCCGGAACCCACCCACCACATTTGTCCTGCTTTCCGGGAAGTACTCAGTAGGTATTCGGCTGAACGTCGGATGAACTCACTGATCGACATACTCATTCAGATATAATTGGGCCGCATACGTATACGTATACGGAGTATCCGAGGTCAACTCTCATTTCTCAGGGCTCAGTCTCACCGGCGAGGTCTCCCCCGCCTCCCGGCTTAAAAGTGGAGAATCGTCAAGTTTAGATTGTGTTCGTGGAGAAAAATGTGGAGAAGTCGGGGTCGCCCTTGACGAAGCCACTAGAAATGCGTTTAATCTGTAGATATTGCAGGGAATATTGTGATGAAAGTCGGGCACGAATGAAAGAGAGAAATCCGAAAATGAAATACCGAAGGCAGCCAAATCATCGCTTTAGTCCACATCGATCAGGTGACGTCAATCCCTCATACAATATTTTCTGCCCACTAGCCATTTTCCCCAGCTCACTATTTCAGATAACTGATTCCGGACTATTTCTTACTTTTCTCGGTTGGTAGGAATCTCCTAGTTTAATATAAAGAAATATGGCTACATCCGGTTCTCAGCTGCTCTTGTCTAAACGTCCGTTAACTTCTCCTCCCTCCAAAGCCAACCCAGGGCAAACGCTGTCCCTGGTATAATAAAATCCACATCAACCCCGTTCCTAGCAAAAAGATCTCGTCACAGAGCAGAAAGCGGCCAATAACACGAGAAAATGATTCAACATGCGAACCACAATCCATCTACAGTATTAGGACCCAGGAGTTTAGCCAGAAATGCAAGCTTATACAGGGCTTTCGCCAGAACTCGCCTTCCAGACTCCCGCCAAAGTTATTTGCTCTAACAAATGTATGAGTTTGGGAAGACCCGTATCCGATATATGAAGCCCGGACTGCAATCGAAGGATGGCGAAAGGTATTCACAATCCTAAAACGAATGTTGGTTTGTCTTCAAACCCGTTAGCGATATGAATCAACACAGGTTATTATATTCAAAGTATAACAAAGGCACTCTCAACTTCGCCCATTGGAGAAGTACACACGGAATGTGGGAGATATAGCACGTAATCGAGAGATGCCAAGAGGACTGCACGTTGATCCCCTCATCAAGAACCCTTGATACAAGTGGCAAACCAACAAAGATGTTAGCACCTTTGTCCGGGTCCCATGCAAAGGTCCGACTGAAGCAGGATGGCCTATATTTCCTTCCACAAAAAACGATATCTCCTGTTATTTACCAAGCAATATTAGAGGCAAGTCGGTCGTGATGCGATTTTTGCTTCCCGTAAACAGGAGCTCAGCAATTCTATTGACCATTGTAAGCCAGTAAACGCAAGTCCTTCAGTTGCCGTTCCCTTTCTTCAACCCAAGTTGCCGCTTTTGTCGGGCAAGGGAAACAATGTCATATGTCGTCTAGCCAAATTGAACAGTATCTGAGTATCGACAGTGCCTGTTGATTTCAATCCATCCAATTCTTCGATTCGCGGCTGTTATTTTCAGCTTATTGTAGAGCATATCATATTCTGGTCAGAAGATAAATTTGCTTCAATTAATATCGGATAATTTCTGTCGATCAAGAAGTACACCAGTTATACCCAGAATAAAAATTTTATGCATTGAAATCATATCGCGAATTCAGAAGGCTCGAGGCTCAGATTCCAATCGTTGTCTTTTGATATCTATCCTTCGAAAAATTGGCAAGTAATTTCGCTATGTGCCGACCAGCAAGCAGACTGAGGAACTTTTTCTATGGGCTGTAGTCTGCCCAACACATCGAATCGAGAAGGTCCAAAACACGTCCCTTGATCATTTGTACAACTCCTTCGCTGTGAGGAATCACAGATCCCGGGATTTAGGAAAACGCATCGGAGACATCGATGTCGCTGGTATACTTCGTCCGTCCGAGAGAAGGGTTCGAATATCGCCAAGCTGAAGACAGTCGTGGGACTCTCAAGAATGTTCTACTCCAGATGAAATGATTTAGCATCACATGGAGCCTGCATAACTCGGGCAAGATGGAGTAAAGCGTTGCGTAGCACAAATGTCTAAATCCCCGTCATCTCGGAAGTTCTCTTTCGCAGATGCCTGATCGCATTTATCATCGTCATTGAAATTGGTGCAAAACGGCGCTGGCTAAGAACCTCACGATGTCGTCGATACGGCAACTGAAATGTGAAAGGGATCTTTCATGTGCCAAAACATAATCGTCCAAATGCCTCTTGCTGATACGCTAAGATAGAATCGTCAAGGCCCACCACCGGGCCTAGTCGCATCCTCAGCTAGCCACTGCTCAGTCCCAGTGAGTGAATTATGAAGAAAAAAGCGCACTAGAGCCGAGCAGTCAAGCGAATGGACTACTGGAAGTCCCGTAGAAGGGAAAAGAAAGGAAAGAAATGTCTCCTTCCGATGCTTTCCGAGTGATCAACATCAACATCAACAAGGCATCCCCACCACCTGCAAAAGGCGGTCAACGCCCCCTAGAGGCAGAACGACACGTGCCCCTGGCGACGAAAAGCCACCATACCCGATCAGGCAGCACCAGCCCCGCATGGCCGCATCAGCCACAAGCAAAAACAGCCCGACATCACGCGTGGAATGTCTAGAACGTCGAAGGAGGATAGGTCTCGTCTAGGCTAATTGTGGGATACTGTTGTTTCCATCGTGATCTACAAGAAGCTTTCCTCCACGACAGGTCTCGTTTCTATCCAATAAAGATCAGTCGATTAGTTGAAGACGCGCAAGATGTCGACCACGCCAATTTCGAAACCGAGATCCTCAACGCCGACGGTGTTCGAGCAGCAGCGCGGAGAGCTGGTTCGGGAGATTGCCGGTGTATGTCTTCTTTCTCTAGCTTTATAGACTATCAGAATTTCACATGACGGCATCGCTAATTTCGTTCAGGGAATGGAGCAAGTCCTCCAGAACATCAACCGGTTGAACCGAAATCTGGAGAGTATTATTTCGGTGAGTATGCCTGCATACGTCCTTCGCTCATTTGGCCGGGTCTTCATATTAACGGTGACAAGGTTGGCAATGAATTCGGTTCCGTCGAGGCGCTCTGGTCTCAATTCGAAAATTTCATGGCCAAGCCCGAGCAAGAGGCCGAGAGTGGCGCGAAACAGAAAGAACATCACCACGATGAAGGTCAAAGCGAGGTCCATGAGCAGGACTCGTGAGCTGCCTGAACAGATGATGTGAGATGGGAGATGGATTACCGATTGAGTTTACGTATTTGCATGCCAGGGGTGTTCCGGTCTAGTGATTTTATCGTTCAATCTTTAGGTACTTCGTTTATTACTGGGAGACGGATACCATATTATATGAGATAGACAATTTATTGGTTCAGTTACATGGGATTTTCGCTTGCGCCAGTAAACACCCACCACATGCATGCGGAAGAGTGGCCTTCAGACCGGGTTCGTGACAGACATCAAGAATTTAAACAGGGGCCAGGGCTCAAGGAAAGCAAAAATCGGGGCCGGAAGAAAGGGATAGGGGGAAGGGAGAATCGTGATTTATGGAAACATTCATCAAGCGACAATAACAGGTATAACAACATGGGATCACATAATCATCAGAAAGCCGCCATTACCAAGAAAGGAAAAAAACAAAAGAAAAGACAAAAAAAGGGGGGCAAGACAAATAACAGTCTGGGGAAAGTGACAAAGGTCGGGTGTCAAGGGAAAGCCGCCAAAGCAACCAGGCTTTTAATTCGGCGTACATCAAAACAAATAGATAAGGCGCGAGTGTAGACGTAGAAAGCGAACACGATACCCAGCAGATAGGACGATCTACAAGATCTTGCAGGTACGCTTCTTGACTTTCTTGGGGCCGGCACTGGGGCCGCTGCGTCCTGCGCTGGGCTTCCCGCCCGAGGTATAACTTTGGCTGTGGTTCCAGCCCTCCTCGGCGGTCACAACGGTGTCAACAGCCATTTGGAAAACCCCGTCCACCCCGCGCATCTCTTTGCTGCTGCATTCCACATATGATGCATTCATTCTCCGAGCGACGGTCTGTCCCTGTTCTGGTGTGACTGGAGTGAGACCCTGAGTCTTCAAGAGCTCGATGCACGTTCTTTTATTCCGCAGGTCCGACTTCAACCCTACCAGAATTATCGGCGTAGTTGGGCAGAAATGCAAGACCTCGGGATACCACTAACATTTGTGAGAAGCTGTTTTCCAGCGAGCTTGTCTGGCTTGACTTACCTTGTCCATTACATTCTCCAAAGACGCCGGGCAGTCAATCGCAAAGCAAACAAACAACAGATCCGTCTCAGGATAGGAGAGCGGACGCAGACGATCATACTCTTCCTGACCAGCAGTATCCCAGAGAGCCAGCTCGACCGTTTTTCCCGAAGCCCGATGAATCGTTTGCGTGATGTAGTTTTCAAAAACGGTGGGAACATATTTCTAGCCGCACATTAGATCCACATTTCAAACCAAGGATGAAAGTGCCTGGGAACCCACCTCTGGGAAGTACCCTTGCGAGTAACTGATCAAAAGACATGTCTTTCCGCATCCACCATCTCCCACCACAACGAACTTCTTCGAATACGCCGGCGGTTGAGTTATATTTGTCGCCTCCGATGCCCGACCGCTTGAAATGCTGGTATTTGTGCTCACGGTGCCATTGCTCACGCGGACACTCTGACTGCGTCCCCGGTTGTGTCGTGGGGTCATCGAAGGTGGAGGAGTGGCGAGAGAATGGCGTCGCGAGGCTGCATACAGTTGGTCGTCGTACATCTGACCTGACATATTGGCGAGATAGGAAATTTTGAGAACGTGGTGTCCAAGGCAGCCGAAAATGGAAGTGTCGGTCTGACGAGACGAATCGAGATTGATTGAATATTATAGATCCACTGCAACTGGGAGGGGGAAGCCGGAGAATTTTTTTTTTTTCTTTTTTTCCTTGTTTTGTCTATCTCGTTCGATATGTCGTCGATTCGCTTGCGGTGTAGAGTGATCGAGTATGTAGGGGGATAAAATTGAGGCGGAAGACAAAAGGGAGGGAGAAGAAGAGGAAGAATCACGAAGATCGCAAACAGAACAAAGGAAGAAACGGTGGAAGAAAGGGATGAAGGCCAGGCTCAAGTTCGAGATCGCTCTCCCATGGCTGCTCTAACAACGAGGTCGCAGCTGACGTGAAACCGATGTTTACGGGCCGATGGGCTGCCATGGCAACGCCGCGGGACAGATGACGCACCAGCTCCGCTGTCACTCCCCCTTTCCCAGTCCCTGAACCAGTCATCACCGTTTATTTTTAGCAGATTCACCTTGGTCTGGCCTGTCACCGCTCCGATCGAGAAATCGGATCCTGTTTTTTAGTGTCGGGGGTGACCCGGATTATCGACAATTCAATCTGAACGTCCATGACCATCTTGAAACTGCGATTCTTGCAGGACCTTGGCAGCAACAATGATTCCTTGCCCTACGGTCCTTTGGTCTCCATAAATCACGCTAGTAGTATCCCCAGCAGCCTTGCCACAATGGCTCCCAGGACTGGTTCTTTGTTTGTCCCCGGTTTTCCAGTGTTGGGGAAAGTAGATATAATCCATTGTCCAATTGTCTAGCGGAGTTGGAACTCCGCAAACTTCAAAGCATCGGGGATACAAATTACAAGTTGAAAGAACTACCTGGATGACCCACTACTGGAGATAGCAAATAACAATCACTCGGCTTGAGACAACGAGGAGGATTGGGCTTTTGTCTTATCACACATGTGAAGGACCTATGTAATGGAGGCAACGATTTCAAATAACAATGCCACTCAATCATCTACAGGCAAACTCTATTTCGTTCGCAATTAGGAGCACGGTCTGCTCCGAAAACTGCAGAGCTAGTACGGTGTAGTTGCCTCCTGCTAAAAGATGACCTGCATAGTTCGCAGTAGTGCTGCGGCTGAGTGTGACTACCAGCACGAGAGGACGAAGAGCGGAGTTGAAGATGCTGCAGTCCAGTATGCAATGAATAATCTACCCAGAGGGTTCGTAACTACGGAGTACTTGAAGCACGCTTTGGAAAGTACCCTGGCTCTCTGTTGGCCGGGTCCAAGCAGGCGGGACCATAACGATCCCGGCTCTTTGAGACTGCAATTCCGTTGCTTGTATGTCCCTATGTTCTATATGGGGCAGTCTCTTCGCTTATAGCGCGTAAGGCTCCAGGCATATATTTGTGCCTTGCATTGCAAGAATCAATAGTTGTACTTCATACTCTACAGGAATTAAATATACATCAGCTACAGCCTGCCAGCGGAACCACATTTTGCCATAATTCAGACGACTTGTGATAAATTTGGCAGATGGTGCTCAAATTCACCAATCTATTCAGCAGTATCTCTGTAATCATTTATCTCCTAAAATTCACAATCATTCATTATCCTTCCAAATTCCAGTTGTTGGCGCCTGGGCAAAGAGCGTCTTCGTACCGGGTCTGACTAAGCGCCCGCACAAGGTCGCTGACCGCCAAAGGAAGGACCAAACCGCTTGGATACCGCGGGACAAATTATGATGAACCGAGTTTAGTCCCATCAATCAGTGTGTCCTCTTCCCCCTGAGGGTATACGGAATCCTGCAGAGACGCAAGCCTCTCACTTTCGTGCGTTTGAGCATCCGGAGGCATTGTCACCAGTGCTGCACACCCTGAAACCCGGCTAGATCTCGATCTATGGGGTAATCTGCAATCGCTCTTTCTCCTCCAGATCGTTCCGGACACGGCCATCCACAACAATGGGTGGCAAGCCTGACGCCGGCCTCCGCGGCCTCAATCACTGTACGTCGAGTCTTCTGACCTCGGCGCATTCCAATGGATGACATGGTTGACGTCTTCTAGATCAGAGACAGCTTCCGTCATGGCGGTATTGGCCCCGACAAAAACTGTTGCCTCTGGTCCGGTTTGAGACGCCGTATCTCGCCTGGGCGCAAGAGAAGGTGCGGACTCCGACTCTCGACTCCTACTTCGCATTTACGGCCAATTTGGGAACCCACACCTTTTTTATGGTCTTCTTGCCGATCTTGTTCTGGAGTGGATATAATAGCTTGGGCCGTGGGTAGGTGCTTACAACCCGACTATAAGATCGGATCGGATCGGCTAACGTCTTGCGCGCTGGTAGAATGGTGAATCTATTAGCATCCGGTGTATTCTTCAGTGGATTTATCAAAGACTTGCTATGCCTCCCGCGCCCGCTATCTCCTCCGCTGCAACGGATCACGATGTCCGGCTCCGCTGCTTTAGAATACGGCTTTCCTTCGACGCACTCGACAAACGCCGTTTCTGTCGCCGTGTACGGTCTCGTCCTGCTTAATTCAGAAGACACAGCCCTGAGTCCCACCGTCAACTTGATCCTTCAAGCCATAACTTATCTCTACGTCTTTTCCATTGTGATTGGTCGCTTGTACTGCGGGATGCACGGATTCTTCGACGTGATCGTGGGTTCGTCGCTCGGCGCTCTCCTTGCTTTTGTCCAACACGCGTACGGTCCGATTATGGAAGAATATGCGCTCGCAGGTCGTAGCAAAGAAGTTCTCGCTGTGGTGCTAATCATCCTGGTTCTCGTTCGCATCCACCCCGAGCCTGCGGATGACTGTCCCTGTTTCGACGATAGTGTGGCTTTTGCGGGAGTACTGTTGGGTGCGCAAGCAGCATACTGGCACCTTGCACTTACCCAGGCGGAGTTCGCGGTTGCTCCTATCCCGTATCGCATCGAGAATTTGGGAATAATCAAGACAACACTGCGTCTAGTCATCGGGGTGTTGATGCTCTTTACGTGGAGAGCGAGTGCGAAACCTTTCCTTCTACGGATTCTTCCTCCAGTATTCCGCGGCTTGGAAAAGCTTGGCCTCATTCTTCCTCGACGATTCTTCACTAAGGCTTCGTAAGTTCAATCCCGATCGCGAGTTGACCCGTGGATTCGGTCATTAACCATTTTGAAACCACAGCGAGTACACCAAGGTTCCCGCGCACCTCAAAGATCATGAAATCATTCCCAGCTTCTCCGATATCCCCTCGATCCTGAAAAACATCCGCCACCCCAGGCGACGTGCCATATCGGTCGGTCCGCAGTCCGAGGCCGACGCCTACGAAACGCTGGCATATCGGGAGAAGCGCAGACGGGAGAGCCTGTCCAACGGCAAAATGACGGCGTCCGTGCCCGAAGAGACGGAGAACGATCACGACGCGTCCAGACTCGGCGCAACACCCCGACTCTCGCGCAAGCAATCGAAACTGCACGAGTACGAGAACATGATGGGCACGGGCAGCCCGCGCATTGCGACCGGAGTCGACACTAACTCCCGCCTGTCGCCGGAGACGGAGCCCTTCCCCGACTTGGAACCCGAGCCCGTCGAGCCCGACGAGGATGAGGTTTTCGCGCAGATCAAAAAGCCCCGTGTACGATATGATGTGGAGGTGATTACCAAGCTGGTTGTCTATTCCGGTAGGATTTCCCTCGATCCTGTGAACTTTTCGAACCTTGACACTAACTATGGACTGTAGGAATCGCATGGATTGCGATGGACTGGGCGCCACTTCTATTCGAGCACATCGGCCTTGGTCCCAATTAAATAGAGCAGCCATGACGGGCTATCCTCTGACGCCGGGGGTACCTTTCGATCTTCGGTTCAGCTAATCGAGCCGTCCGGGCGGTCGCTGTAAAATATTTCGCATTCTTGTATATATGATTTTGAAGGGCGGATTTTTGGGGGCAGATGTATTATGACATGTATTTGGAAGTCAACGTGCCTGACGAGACTAGAAAGTATGAATTTGATGCAGATGTTCGCAGATACTGGCGTGACTGTTCTACGCTCCAATCCGGAGAATCGAGAGTGACAAAGATAAAGATCCTATGGTTGTAGTGATTCAGGCCGCAGGAAGATGCCTTAGGCCTAAGGCCAACGACATGCAGACGAGGCAATCCGCGGTCTTGTACGGAGTAACGCGTCAACAAACCACAACAACATCCAGATGATCCCCAAGCGTAGTTCTTTTTTCCCATAAAAGTAAAGTAATTTAAACAGTATCGTCTGTCTAGAAGAATAAGACGCGTCTGATCCCTCAAATAGCCTTGGGGAGACGCATTGCCTGAAATTATCTTACGTGGGGAACCCGCCCTTGAACATACGTACTTGATTTTCTAGCCACGGCGAAGGCTTTCCCTTTCCGTTTTTTGCTCACCCCTCGCCGCTTTTTGCTCACTGGATAGACCTGAGCACGCCCTGAGTGGCCTGAGGCGATCACTGAGCATGGAGTGAGCGGAAGACTGAGTGCCCTGAGTGAGTAACCTCAATCGATTTCCCCCCTTGCCCGTGTCTTTATTCCTAGTCCACTTTTGCCCGCCACACTCCCTAAAAAACCCAGCATTGCCATCACGAAAATGACGAATAAGAGAAGCTATTATTCCTTCTGATGCCCACGGCCGTTTCCCCAGTAGGAAAATGCTGTACTATCACGCTGCACCAACATGGCAAACATTTTTCTGGGCTTTCTCCGTCGAAAGACATCACAAGCCCAGATGTTCATGGGAGCAGCCCTAGATATCTCAAGAGTCAAGAAATTCTCGGAACACCAATTAGCGCTAGTCTATTATAGATATTTTCTGAATTTTGATCCCGAATACCTACGTGGTAGAATGACATGCCAATGTTTCCTTATCAAAATGCATAATACTGAAGATACATAATACTGATTAAAAGAATAAAATTCGAAAATTAGGACGTAGTGTTGATTATTTGTGGCTATTCTGGCCTGGAAGGTTTGATATCTACAGTATAAAGTCATAATGGATTCATTCTAATCGGGTTAAATTCCTTACATGGAACCCTATTCTTTCTTGTCCAAGCAATCTATAGGCATTGCTGGTATGACAATCGATACGTAGTACATGTGTCAGTAGACGTCATACCAAAAATTCGCACGGAAATCACTGAATAATATCATAGCCTACGCATGGTAGTATAGAGGAATCGTAGATCTTAGAAAACCCAAACTGGCTCTTGGGATCCTTGCTAGTCTCTAGAACCTCGAATGCCCTTAACAGAACTCACTGACTGTTTTGTAAACTAAACCCCTAATGCATCGAGGCTATTTAAACTCGCAAAGGGCGCCCCAATCTAGCAGTTTCGGTCAGTCCCTCTCAAGTGAAAAGTTGTCAGCGAAGATGGGGCAATTTACCACGCAAACGTCGACAAACGGAATACTTTGGCCCCCTCACCGAATTTGCGAAATTACGCTATCTTTCTATTAAGGCGGAGATGCTAATCGGCGGCTGTGTCAAGGACTCAGTGGCTTCATTTCGACTGAAGGAAATACTACCAGCCACAATTGAAACCTTGGTTTTAGCTACGGAAGATACCGTAGAGAACGTTCATGACCTTCTACTCCAGGTAAAGGAGGTGGTATCGCAATTCCCTCATCTGACAACCCTTGAGTTCACGGAAACCTGGGCCATAAGTGGCTCTACTACCTCTACCCAAGGAGCAGCCCCGGCTATATACCAGCCGCTCAAAGAAGCGTGCTATCATAACGGTATCTGATTCAGTACTGAAGGAATCTGCAAGCCCACAGTCCAATTACCAAACTGCCCTTTCCCTTTGGGTATGCGGTGCCTGAGTCGATAGAAGGAAACATACAATATGCGAATAGATGCCGGTTTCCAGTACGAAGAAATGTGCGAAAGAGCTACCCGCAAAGCTGCAGGACTCCGGGAAACGCCATTGCTATCACCTGAACCACGGAGTTGGGGCTCTCGGACAATTGAGACACACGTCCTCCCATTCCAGGATCACGGCGGAAATACAGCCTTCATGGTCTTTGAGAGTGAGAAGAACATTCTATTTCCCCCTCTGTTCAATCTCAATATCAAGCTTCGAAAATCAGGACGTAGTGTTGATTTTTTGTGGTTATCCTAGCCTAGAAGGCTTGATATTCACAGTAGAAAGGCATAACAGATCCATTCTAATCGGGGCAAATCCCTTACATGAAGCCCTATTCTTCTTGTCCAAGCCTTGGCTTAGAACAGGACGATGTCCAAGCAACATGTAGACATAGCTGGCATGGTAGTCAATGCGTAGTACATGTGTAAGCAGACGTTATACCAAAAGTTCGCACGGAAATCAGTGATATGATATCATAGCTTACGCTTGGTGGTACAGAGGAATCGTAGCTCTTAGGAAACCCAGAGTGGCTCTCGGGATCCTTGTTGGTTATTACTGAGGCCTCTCAGGAAGGTATAGTAAACTTCTGTGTCACGGACAGTGACCAGCCTCCGAAGACGTTCCTTCGGGATACCCTATGACCTAACTACCCGATCGGGACTAGCTTAGTTTCTTCGTTGAATGCATCCCCTACATTCTCGCCATTCCTTATCGCCTGCGTAGCCGTTCGTCACATCAACTGGATCTCCCGCTGTATCCATCATCTCGTGGTGCATACGTAGACTGCTAAAGCAACTACGATCCCAACAGATGTGGCTAGTAGCAGGACCTTGCTCACAGGGTATCTCATAGTCCCTTTTACGTTCACGGCTCTACAGAAATCTGGTCAGGTCCAGGACGCTCTGGCAAAATACCAAATCGGACAGGCAGTTCTAAACACAATCCAACACCCTTCATTTTTGGCGATTGCCTGTATTCTGTTTGTTGTGTCTACTGCAGCGCTAGGATGGCTCTACTGGGAATGGCGTAGCAACTACATCTGGCTCGCTAATCGGGTGTGAAGCGAGGAGACTGACTCAAGCCCAGGCCAATCATCATGAACGCAGCTGCTGGGCTTGCAACCTCTCTCATCAATGTCTACACTGCACGAGATGGAAACTGGTCTATTATGGCTTTAATCACCACTATCATAACCGGACTCACGCTGGTCACGTCCTTCTCGCGGGCCATGGTATTCAAGTTCATCAAACTCAAAGAGGTACAAGAAGCCCATGTGCGTGAAGTATATCTCGGTGGTCCAGGGCAAAGTGCCTAAATCATTGGACTCAGTGGGTCCACCAGCAAACCTACGTACAGAGTCTGTCCATTTCCAAAACGCTGTATTCCTACTTTATACAGCACATATCCGTAACTACGTTGGGTACCACAGAAGGGGAGGAAATATCAAGTTCATGGCGTGGATGCTTCTAATTAGTAAACCTGTAGAAGGGCCTATGCATATGGCACACCGCATCCCTCGGGTGGCCGTGCTCGATGGGATATTGAAGGAAGGAAGTAGGACCGATGATTTTGCGCAAAACACAGCTGACTCTAGCATCACTCGATAGATAATTTCCGGACTGTCGCGGTGGAGGACCCAAAAGCTCCAAATACTGCGGGTTTGGATTGATCGTAACTGTTCGTAAGTATGTTCCTGATTACTGGGGAGAGGTTAATGGGAACCCTTGGGTTAGCGAGAGACTGGTGCTGGAATTGGGAATAAATCTGATGTGAGCTTTACCTTATGCCTACCACGCCGGGACATCTACATGCGGCGACTGACCGCCCTACGTTGAAAATTGTCCTTTGTGTCCTGCCAGGGAGCCAAATTCATTGCTTCTGTGGGCTTGGTGGTGCACGGTGGAAACAAGACAACCGGCTCATTGACGGCTAAATAGAAAGAGACGTGACCTTAAGGAATAGCTGGCACTTCCTTTCTCAGGGCACAACTCATGACCATTGCAGTAACCTGCCAAGGTAAATACAAAGAAAAGACTCACAATGCCGTGGTGCGCCGCATGATTTGTCTGCCCTGCGGATCACTCGATGACAGCACAGTACTCTCCCAGCAACAAGCTGCAAGTGTTGATGGTGATGTGGATCAAGCCATCACCCAACGAGTATCAACGCGTCCCAATAGCATAGTCATCCCCGAGAGCTGCCACATATGGAGAACTGTCAGTTCCTGTGGTGCTATTGGCCATGTAGCCAAAGGTATAATGGCTTCCGAAGCGGCAGGCCTCAGGCAGCTTCGTGGCAGCTTTGAAGAGATCCACACACATGGTTCGGATGGGATGATCCAACTGTGGATTTTCGTCAGCTGCTAGCACCTGTCCATCTCAGACGGTTTAAGCGTACTTTGTTGCAGAAGAAAATGGAAGAATGTCCCAGATGGGATGGGCGAGCACAGCCTCCTGGTTGCACCACGCACATAGTGTCTGTAATATCGTGGAGATGGTCAATGTTTTTTGCTATTTCGTCTAGGCGGGCTATACCGTATTCCGGAAAGCATTGTGGCTTGGTTGCTTCATCCTACTGTCTCGTCAATTCTGCGGTTACTGGTCCCGTTTATGACTTACCATTGACCGAGCATAAAGGTCTCTGCCGTAACGGTGATTTGCGATAGGGAACCAAGTCATATTCAGTATATATTAATTTCCTGTCAGGGATTTCAGGTCGTATCCATATACATTGTCCGCCTTACTTGATGACCAATGGTAGGGTCAAATACGACTGACATTCCATCGCCTCCAAGCACCTAGTTCTCCCTGTTCATGAGTGCGATGCAGTAATGAACTGACCATGTGAAAGAAGTGTGTCGATGGAAACGGTCCGTTGTGTATGTGGAGTCCGAATACACCTCATGGTGTGACTTACTGCTCCCAGTCCGGCGGAAATGAGGCAACTGATGATTGTGTATGTTTTCATCGCTCGTTTGTGTTCCTGGTCTGTGAGACTCCCGGACAACGCTGGAATGTTGGTATTTAAGCCAATGTTATCCTGCTACAGTAAGATCAAAGCGTTCTCGTCTACGAGTGAAGCCTGGTAAAATGTGCGCCACCAGGTTCTTGATGCTCGATGGTGCAGCTGTAATAGACTAGTGAACCCCCGTAGTGGCCAGTTGATTGATCTGTCACACAATTTGATGGCTGTGTCGGATACCGAGGTCATCAAGTTTAGCCTTTGAATCGCTGCAGTATTTTACACTACAGTGCGGTTGATTAGAGCGGTGTGAAATATGATGGCTCCTGTTTTCAGAGAGGCTATATAGAAGCAACAAGGAAGTTAGATTATACATACACCATTTCTTTTGTTTTCCGTCGTAATGTCCCATCCCCTTCTTGCTGCAGGCTCTGCCTACTCGCTCGTCGAAAGTATTTACCGGAAGAGGCGGTTAATTGCGTGTGGTAGCGCCCCATCCTAACTCATAGTATGCGGAATATGTTGGCCAGAGCTTACAAGGGCACAAATAATGTCCTTTTACATTCATTGCTTCTGCTGCTAGGGGTACCTCTGAATGCCCCGGGAAATAAAACAGACGGGCAGCAGATGCACGTACCACCGTTATTGGCTGGACTTTTCTCCCGAATTGAAGATGGAAAGCCATTCAGTAAAATTAACATAGAAAGACAAATGTCCTCTAGTTTGAAATCTATTCCCATTACACGCAAGCAAATCGTGTTGGCTGCCGGGTAGTTAGTTCTACATCTGGCTTCGACCACCCCCCCGAGACGACGCGGTTGCTTTTCGGGTTACTTAGCCCCTATTACCGACAGCGCCATCAGACACCCCAACCGCTTCTCCCAGAGCCTAGTAGATGCTAGGGCCAACTCCTACGCGAGGCTATACCGACGATCAACCCGAAACTTTGCACTATCTCCGGCATAATTCCAAATCACGATGCAGCCCTCCGGGGACCGGGAAATGGCGTATTGGCCAACGAGAAGCAAGGATAGTCTTCGTCTCTTCTGCTAGGAGTGATTAGGTCCGGATCGAAGAGTCCAGATGTCTCAGTCATTAACAGGGTCAATGCCGGAGAGTCCTTGGCTTGCTCCCCGGGAAGTACCCCGCGAAAAGGGCGGCTGGACAACTCTCCCTACTAATGCTATCCGAAGTATCAAGGGTGTGACCCTATATAGCTACTTAGTACTGGCATCGGCCATAAGGCGAACTACTTGACAAGGGATATCCGTAGCTGCCCAGGCATATATGTTCTGCAATGCGTACAGTACACAAATTCTTCAAGTGAGGTCACTTGTCTCGCTGGAGCAACCCGTCCCAGTGCGACCGTGCGCGGTGTTCTCTGGCGATCAAGGCGTAGATGCCGTTGTGCAGGTCATCTGAAATCGTGGATACTGAATCTGGTTTCTACCGCGTTTATTTGTCTAGGTAGAAATCTATTTACACTAACCTACTGAACATATGCATTGCTCTAGGGTTGGGGGCTGCTTTTGGAGTATTATTTAACTTTTTCACCTTCCCATCTTTCCACTTTCATTCGGACGGAATTGGATACAGGGCACGCCAATATCGTTTCCTCATCTCCCTGATTGAGAAGAAGTGTGACCATCGCACATAAATTCTGTCCTCGTAGTATGCCAGCTGTAAGGGCCCCTTTACACCAGGAGCATCTTCAAACTGCGAGACCACCTTCGGACGAGATATTGTGTCCTCAATCCTGGGCATAAGGCGAAGGAAATAATCACATCTATAGCCCCTCGCAGACATGACCTCCAAAGAAGCCTGAAGGATGGTGAAGTGGCTCATATCGTACTCCTCCCGTAAGAATATCCGGACGAGTTGTTCCAACGCGCTGAATTTATCACGCGATTCGAGCCCAATCAAGGGATCCGCGCCTCTGTGAAACAGCATGTCAGCGAGTTCGGGGTTCCCAGCCTCCAGGGCAATGGATAAAGCTGTCCGCCCCAGTGAATCTTTGGTGTCTACCTGAGCCCCGTGGTCAAGCAAGAAATTCACTGTTGCTGCGATATTTTCACGGACCGTCTTTTCGATACAATCGTCGGGGCCGATCCCCGCTGTGGTAACGTGGATTATCAAAGCCTCGGTCACTTTTTCTTTTTTTGATGTGAACGCTTCGTACAAGGAGTTGATTCCGAACCCTTGGCGTAGAAAATACCCGATGACAGCGACATTGCATCCCACAGCTGCGCTGACCAATGCGGAGCAATAGATGGGAAGATTCGGGTTCAGAGTCAAATTCTGTGTAGACAGGAACTCACGAAAGGTTTTAAGGGGGCTGTGCCGCGCTGCAATGTGCAAGACACTTTGTTCATGGTACTCGGGATCCGAATCGTCCAGTGCATCGAGGGGACCCAATTCGCAGTGGTTTAAGAGGCGCCAAACAAATGCAAGATTGCCGGCTCCCAACGCGCCCACGAGTATTTCCTTCACTACGCGAATAACTACCATTTCATCCAGATAACCACGTTGTAAAAGGATCTCCATATGTCCAGGGTAGCTCCTAGCCTCAGAAAACAAGTCATTCAACCAATCTTTTCTGGCTTCTGTTAGATCGCCCAGTGGCCCACAATCCAGCAGTATATCAAAGGCGGGGGCACTGTCGTAGTAGAATGTTGTGTAACGGACGAGCTCCCGCCATTCGCGTGCCCAGACCATCCCTGGCAACTTTATCATTTGTCAACCGTATGTGACCGCTAGTCACATAGGAGACCTTCCTATTCCGGATATCGGTATTGGTAACTACCGATCCCCGAGGATTATGCAGAGTTTTCTGATATTTCCATGGTTCAAAAGTTATGTCTCTTCTAACTGCCTTTTTAGGCTAGATTGCTTATTATTCTTCATGTATTTAAACCATCGTTTGCAGCTAGATTGAAAGAATCAGACCTTCATCATTCGATATTCCTAAGTGTACATTACTAGCAATTACGCCTAGAGAGACGGCCAACATCATTTCGTCGACTATATATCGCGCCACTGTCAAGTTCCCATGAAGTACAGCGGTCCCAAAGTTCCCCGCTAGATGCCGCCAATCATGGGATGAATCTCGCATGTTCCAAGCTTGTCGGTAGACCGGTAGATCATTGCAAGCTGCAACCACGTCATAGACACGGCTTCTGGCGTAGCCCCCGCAGCGTTGATATTCGGGACCAGCTATTATTGTACCCAGGTCAACGCTCTTAACAACATTTGAGACCGTGTAGTCCGGCAAGTTGAAATATTCTGCCAAATGCAGAGTGCCATAAAATCCCACGGAATGGAACCGCATACCCTTTTCGATTAAATACTGTACTACTGCTTCGTGGTTTCTGGCAGCAGCTACATAAAGTGGACACTCTGTAATGCGCGATAATCCCGGATTATTGACGTTGGCACCAGCCATCACGAGAAGCTCTACCATCTGCAAGTTCCCCTGATAAGCAGCTTGTGAGAGGAATGATTCGAAAAATCCGGTGCGACTGATTTTATGGTTGACATCAACTCCTCCCTCTTCGATCAAGTACCTAGCCAAGGCCAGTTGGCCTCGGCTAACCGCGTATGCTAGAGCCAATGGCTTTTGCCACTTTTTTACTCCCGTAGAAGATACAAGCACCTTCGTGACACCCAGGCTGCCCTTGATGGCGGCGCGGTAAAGCGCCCCCTCGAGATCATCCTCGTATTCCCTGTGGCCCGGACCGCAGACCGATAAACCGTATTTGCATCGATCGCTTTTTAAGCAGACCTCGCTATAGGCTACCAGCAGCTCTGCAATTTTCGAGAGATCCGTTTCGACAGTCAACATGATTGTTGTTGCATACCCCGTTGTACGGAAGTATTGATCGAAACTAAGTCCATTGGTGAGGAGTTTGTATAGTGCGCGTGCGTTGTTGTTCTTCACGACGCGTTCTAGTCCCCTCGGAGAACATTCTTTGGCATAACATCGGAAAAGATGATTGTTGGCAATGTTGTAGAGCCGTTGACAGGTTTGTGAGAGTGAATTGATCTCATAGGCGTACTCTAGCTGGAGCGTGATTATCTCTAAGATTTCGAGGGGAAGCTGTAGCAAATTTCTGCTAGCAGATTGCCTGGTAAGCACACAATGAAGAGGTTACCAGGTTAGTTTTCCAGGGGTATCAGGGCTGAGCAAGGCAGAGACGGCGGATGGCGGAGTTACTCATGTCCCGTCCCTGCCAATCTGAAATGATTAGTAACATTTTAACCTTCAGAACGCCCTGCGCCCATGGGTTCCCAACGGGTTCCCGCGGGTTACCCAAAATGCTGATTGTCTGCGCCACCATGATATACCCTTTGCCATCTCTCCAGATGCACCTGCGACTGTGTCCTTCCCCCAAACCAACGGTTCAGTGGACGTCGACATCATTTCTGTCCGTCGCTCTGAGATGACCCTGTGCAGCATGTGCCATTTCACCTCGACCGATGAAGCCGTTCAATTCGAATGCGACGAGTGCCATAATCGCAATGATACATCGTGCATAGAGACTTGGCTCCGGTGCCGCAACTCCAACTTCATCTGTCCTTACTGTGCCCTCGACGCTTTCATGCGCTTCTGTTCTCCACCACTGGAAACGCGGGACAACAGTTCAGCAGTCGTGCTTTTGAATTGGCACCCTCACCCACAAGGGATATGATTATGTCTAACCACGAGCCGACTTCCGATCAATATCAGAATCTTGATCAACCCAGCCCTACACAGGCAATCACGCCGGATGGGCCATCCAGGCTGCCAAACCCGCCAAGCGCATCGCAGGTCCATTTCGTACAATCCACTCCGTTGCAGCAGACGTCGATGCGTCAGTCCAACCGGGTACGACGACTCCCTACGCGATATGTACCTTGAAATCAGGATGCGGTAGGGCTGTTGACGATATTGCCGATATACCGATATTGACGATACGATATCGGCTGTTTTTGAATTTGTCGATGCCGATTGCCGGTACGATATCGTTATATCGTATCGGCATCGGTACATTTTTCCTTTAGAATTAATTATCTAGAGAGTGAACAGGCTTTTGTCGAATAACAGGTTTAGTTAACAATTTATATGTCTAGAAGCGGACTATCGCGATAGCATAATTTAATCAAATCCCTTGACGGCTACCACTTATACCCATCGCGAATCAATACCAGCATTCTTATGATATCTCCTTTCAAAGAATATCTCCGGATACCTAGCACATCTTTCGCTATACTAAAGACTCCCTCAACAGCAACTTCAGAGGCAGGAATCGCTAGATAGTCCCTGGCTGCTGCTGCCATCCGCGGATACTCGTCTTTGTACATCTCCTACCAATTACAGAGCCAGTTCTGGCCGGTAGTATCTGCGACACTGATCGGAGGGGTATCGAAGTACTTACCAATATCTGAAAGCGGTAGATCTCGCGCCTGTAACTTCTTCAACATTCTAGATTCCACAATACTATATTTCAGGGAAGACGATCGTGTTACAGCAGTATCATACCCCGGGTTACTAGCTGCGTATACCTGATGGAGATTAGTGCGGATCGTTTCTAGAATCATTATCCCTGCATTGCTATCTTGAAGTTCCCGTAAGACCATTTTACCTTTGACTCGGGGATCCAAGACGAGGGCAGTATAATAGGTATTACAGTCATCCATAATAGAATAGTACTTTTCATTTTTTTTATCCCTTCTTTCACTGCAGCTATAATATCTCGATCCAGTTTTGTGAAATCGCTATTGCCTTCCCTCACATCGTTAAGCAATTCGTGTAACTCATAGTAAATCGGGATTGCAAGGCTTATCTATAGATTGCGTTTCGAAATGAACAAAGTAAGCTCGTTAAACTTGTAGAGTACTGTATGAATCTGTTCCAGCCGTAACCAATCTTGGAGAGTGAACGGCGGGAGTTCTTCCTAAAGGCTCAAAAACTTGTTAACTTGTTGCCTTGGTTTTAAGCTATTGTCGATTATGCAAATGTTGCCCGACCTTGCAAAGAGCGGACCCACCCGAAATCATTGAAGATGCCTGGGTATTTCCTTCCATGCCCAACTGTCATAATTTTGGTCAAACAGAAATTGTGGAGTCTTCGTCCTTCTATGTCGTGGCCGTGTTGTCGACGACGAGATATCCCAGTCATTGTAGGTAACATGCGGAGCTGGCCTACTCTGCTACTGCTTTTGCCCGGGTGCTCCCTTCCAGCTCTAGTCAGCAAGGATCACCGAGTACCTGGCCTTCATTTCACCGGCTTGGATAGGGCCAGATCTTTGTAAACTACCCGTCACTCTCACAATTTGCGAACGCCCCTTGCTTTTAGTCAATTTGCTCTATTCAGATTCCCACATTAATCGGCCTTCACACCGGGGAGCCGCGAGTAACAGACTGCTGGGTCTTCTGTCTCAACCCGTGACCAGCAAAGAATCCACGCCATTATGTTGTTGATTATTCGGCATGTGACATAGCTTGTACGTGGGTAAATGTAGAAAAAGCCCGGGCAAAGCATGAGGGAAGACGCCCACCGATCGTGGCTTCAACCTTATTTGGCTTTCTCGTTCTGGAACCAGGGAGGCAGCACCACTGATCATTTTCGGGAAGTTGACCAGGGGATACAACTTTGGGTCTACCCCAGATCTTGAACACGTCAAAACAAAAATTACGAATATTAACTCCGTGATTCTTCCCGGGTATTGGGGGAGATAGATTGAATATATTCATCTAGCAGCTTATGCTTGTCCTATTACCTTATGTTACGCAGCAATGCATTATAATTAACTTAAAAGGGAGGAGTTGGTGTGCCCATGCTCCTCCTCTCGGAGGCAGAAGCAAGATATGTCTACAGTGTTGTGATATGAGGCCGGCGCAGATCAGGAACCCAGCTGAGCCAACGAATTTAATGCTGAATTGTCTTTACAAAGAACCAAGATGATTGGAAATCAACCGTTGTATATATAGCCTCTTGCTTCCCTCTGAATCAAACTAAAAAAAATTACTCTTCCTTTCGACTTACAACACTAACTAATATCCATCACTTCAGCCCTGGCTTCAGACATCAGGCGACACGACCATGGTAAGGAGGGTGGCCGATGCTACTCATAAATAAATGCAGAAATCCAACCTATCCAGGGTGCAGATTGATCAAGGAATGATGACGCGGGACGTTTATATAGATTGCTAAACGAAGGAACTCTGCCAGCGCAGCAAAACATGAAATAATGTACATTACCTCGGAAGTATGAAAATGCCTTTTCCGAAGTAGAGTTTATTGGGATTATACTATCCAGCAGACTTTATGGCTATCTAGAATCCTAAAGTTTAAGCAGACAGGAACTTGATTTTTATTCCTTTTTTAGGTTGGTGCATTGGGGAATGTGGAGATACAACACTCCTTCGCACAGCTAAAGTTTACCATGAACGATCAAGCCACAAATGTATAAAAGTGAAGCCACAGAAGTGAAGTATTCTCACTACTCGGTCCCTCCGGCGGAAGATTTACGCCATTGCAGAGTTGCGTGACATTGTCGGCCCTGCAGGAAGACGATATTAGAGGATCAGATGACAGTTATCGAAGAATGGCAACAAAAGACAAAAGAATTCAACAGCTAACTTCCTCAGGTAAGGAAAATCATAATCACTTACCGCTAGAAATGTGGGGCTGGCTGTCTTGAGCTCTAACAGTCTGTCGCCATCGTCGAACCTGGCGACCCGACTCTGAAGCTGACCAATCCAGTCTGGAAACGAAGCCACGGAGACCAAGTGGTTCACGCGCACGCTGTTCTCCTCCGCGCGAAGCTGGTCGATCTCGAATTGACCGGAGTATGCCACATAATCGTTGACCGTGAACTGAGTAGAAGGTTGCGTCTCGGGTGACTGGCTCAGTAATTGAGCGGACATGTATCCGTCCGCTGTATACATCAGAAGGCCCCGTGGCGACTGGCCCATGGGATAGGCTATATCATCTCCATTCAGATCAGTGGTCTTGTACTCGAGGAGGGACCAGGATCCGACGAAAATATCTCGGCAAGAGTCCTGAGACATGGACATTGCGAATGGCATTCGAGAGTGGCGTATACTTTCTCTCCTCTTTCTTCCTTGTTTATCAGGGTTCCACTTTATGTTCTGTAACGAATGATGGATAATTTTCCAAGTGAACTGTTCTCTACGATTCTATACTCCCTATTGCGCCTTAAATGTTGAGAAAGATTGCCACCGGATCTGCGCGATATCTAACCCGAGGACAAAGGGGGTCACTTCTAGAATGGGAGATGACTGGCGCTATCATATCCCATAGGAAGGAGGAAATGAGATACCCTAGACAGAACATCCTTCACTTGCGAAGGCTGTCATGTCATGGACACTCCTACTTGGATCTCCGCGGAATCAGCTTTATCTCACAGGCCTTGCTTTCCATGCATGCCCGGCATGTTCAATTATGGCAGCCCGCAGAGCCGTGCCTCAGTTCCAACAACAGGCTTGGCTTTCTAAAGAGGTAAGTGGCCCGGGGAGGCAGAATCTGAGGTAATATTTGGATCTAACGGGTTCTGGGATTACTATGCAACGGATTCCTATTTCCTTTCCAGACGAGGTGTTCCTACCCACTGTAACTATGTGACATTGCCCCTAACCGTAACTTAACGCGATGCTATCTCAAAGCTCACTCTTGTACGCCATGTAACGACCCTGTAGATGAAAGAAAGGCTCAGCTCCACCGGTCGATTGAGTGATACTACAGACAGAAATAGAAATATGCTTACAATAAGTCCTGTCCAGACACAGCTCGTCACAAAACGAACCAGCGACGCACGGGCCCTTCTCCAGGTAAGACCTGTCTTTCCCTCGTTGGCCACCTTGGTGGCGAATTGATCAGCTGTCATCCATGAGGGAAATAGGTCTTCATCGGCCTTGATGCCAGCCTGCTTCTCGATGCTTTCGAGGAAAGGGTGATAGGGAGAGTGCTCCGGAAGTGTCACCCCGACACCGTTGTCGAAGATCTGCGTGTCCACGGCCCCCGTGATTACTGTAAACACCTTGACGTCAAATGGTAACAGTTCTAGTCGCAATGTTTCTCCAAGCATGTTCAAGGCCGCTTTGGACATAGTGTAGAGCCCAATCCAGGGAACGCGCATGTAGCTGGCCATCGAGCTGATATTGACAACCGCTCCCTAGGCACGGATGAGCAGCGTCGAGAATGCCTGCGTGACCTTCAAGGTACCCCACACGTTTGTGTCAAATAGTCGTCTGGCGTCTTCCAGTGGAACATCAAGAAGGGGATGGAGGCGAACATCCCTGCATTGTTGACGAGATAGTCGAGTCGACCTCCAGTGACCTTTTCTACGACACCGACCGCAGCCTGTATACTGTCCGCATTGGTCACATCAAGGGTGACCAGGGTGACATGAGGCAAAGTGGCCAAGTCACCCATCTTTGAGAGTGTCCGGGCTGAAGCAAAAACCATTAGGCCTTCTTGCTGAAACCAGTGATGAGAACGGATACTGGGGGTTGAACGCTCATTGTATTTTCTGCAAAACAAAAAAAATTTTGTGAATGGTCGGATGACAAAATAGGGCACACTTCCGATATTTATATGGAGTATCACTGGCTGGTCGATCATCCGCAGCCTCGGCACCGGTGTTCATGGACTGCTTGTGGTTGGATAATGCTGTCTGGCCATCATGCATCACTAGTCTGCATGTTCTCTGCATTATGAGGCATTTTTCCGCCATGGTGGGCTACGCATCGGGCGTCACCAGGAAAAGCAAACCCGTTACTATAAGAGGCTGTATGTATATACATGGAAGGCGACTCTATATCTAATCAAAACATGAAACACCAACGCGAGGGAGACGCTCAATAATGCTTCCCTAGCCCACCATGGCCATCCAGAGCATTATGGAATCGTTTTCCGGTGTCGACTCAATGACGAAAATTCCAAAAACCTGCAATTGACTAGACTAGTGCAGCTCTAGGTTACCCAATCTAGATACATGCAGAGAATCATCTACAAATCCAGCTCCTGTGATCATCCGACAGCCTGATTTAGATAGGGGAGTACAGACCCCGAGTAACCGCCGGCTGCAGATAATGACCCCGTCCCTCCGTGACAACCTCCCCTGCCTCCTTGCCCTGGTCATCCAGAATCTCCAACCGACCCTCCACGCATGCCGCGTTGTTCTCCACCTTCGTGGCCCTCGCTTTAAGCACGTAGAATGATTCGGTTGGGGCCGCCTTGCGATACTCTACATTCAATCCAAGAGTAACGGCGACGCGTTTGGGCAGCGCCGCACTAGCACAACCGGCCATCCCTTCGTCCATGATAGTCGCCAGCAGCCCACCATGAATCATGCCAGGGTAGCCGGCCAAACCCGCCCCAACGTAGAGGATCAGATAGAACGATCCTCCTCCGGTTTGGTAGAAGGCCAGCGGGCGGACTGCGAGTTTGTTGGGACCCAGGAGACTGCCCACGGTGAACATCTCGGACTCCATGGATTTAGGGACATTCTGGTAATATCGCGACTCGGATAGGCCCTCTGAGCGGAGGGTTTTGGTCAAGGCATGCTGCTGCAGCTGGTCTTCGATTGAGATGACGCTTGATGCCATGTTTGCAGGTTTGAAGTGTAGAGAACTAAGTAGATTGGTATGAAGTTCGTTCGTGACGATGAAGAGGAAGAAGAATGAAGTAGGGTGGGATATAAAAACCCGGGAAGAAACGGGTGAAGACAATAGGTAATCCACTATGACGTGACAGACCAGGCGAACTTGTGGCAAAAACAATGCAATAGGCCTATCTAAGCCCACCAAAGAACAAGCTGTTCAAAGATATGAAATTAAACAAAGTCAAATAATCCTTCGGAACTCAAAGTTAGAAAGCATTTCGAGGTGTTGATCTTGACTCTGAGTTTAAACTGGGTCGGAAAACTACCCTAATCTACTTCGAGGCAATCCGTGGAATGAAGGAGCCTAATTCAATGTAACACACCTTCTGGCCGAGTAAGTGGAGCTTGGGAACTGATCTGCGTAGCTGCTATGCAATATGCCTCTTTGGTAGGTTGTTCATGCCCCCGGTATCACGTACCATGATATCAGAGGAGTGTATTGAATTCCCACCGTGTTGAAGTGAAACTTTGCCCTCATTTGATCTCCCATTGGTGGCGATATGTCTGTGGACAGAAAGAGTAACAGAGGAAAACGATAAACAACATGAGAACAATATAAAAGAGTCCTCTGTAGGTCATCTAATGGCATGAGAACAAGCCTCGAATCACTCACAAACCGAACTGTCTTTCATCAACACAAAGTTAAGTATACCATGGAGTTTGAACAGTGCAAGCAGCAGCCAATTGCCATTGTTGGTATGGCATGTCGCTTGCCTGGCGATGCCACAAACACGAGCAAGTTATGGGATTTGCTGTCTGAAGGCCGCAACACTTGGTCTCACCTTCCGGAGAGTCGCTTCCAGGAGAAGGCCTTCTTTCACCCAGACAGCAAGAAAAATGGAGCGGTAGGTACTTCTACAATTCCATTAGAATCGAACTCACACCTTGGATAGTTCCATACTCAGGGTGGTCATTTCCTCGAAGAGGATATCTCGCGCTTTGATGCCCCGTTCTTCAACATCAGTCCGGCGGAGGCAAAGGTGACTTTCAAACTGTAACATGGGAAGTATATACCAAATCGACTAACACAATACAGGCCATGGACCCTCAGCTTCGACTACTACTGGAGTCCGCCTATGAAGCCTTTGAAAATAGTAGGTCTTTCAACCAATCATCCCTCTTACCCGGGGCTGACAGCCAGCTTGTAGGTGGCATGACCTTAAACCAACTCCGCGGTACAGACACAGGCGCTTATGTGGCAATGTACAGTCGTGATTATGAGAAAATTCTTATGCGCGACCCCGAAGACCTTCCCTTTTACCTCCTGACTGGCAATGGAGAGGCCATGTATGCAAACCGACTCTCATACTTCTTCGACCTGCATGGGCCCTCCTTCACCCTAGACACGGGCTGCAGTGGTAGCCTCGTGGCAATACATCAGGCGTGCCAAAGCATCCGCGACGGCGAAAGTAGCCAAGCCATTGTTGGAGCACCCAATTTGATCTTAGATCCTGCAAGCATGATCGGTCCCAGTTTTCTTCAATTTTATGCATCAGACGGTCGCAGTAAGTCTTTCGATAACTGCGCTGATGGGTACGGGCGTGGCGAAGGTATATGTTCGCTGGTTCTGAAGTCCTTGTCAGCTGCTATTGCAGATGGCGACCCTGTCCGAGCTGTCATCAGGAGTTCAGTCACCAACCAGGATGGTCGCACCGCAGGAATCACCGTTCCCAGCGGAGAGGCCCAGAACTCTCTTATACGTGCTGCATACGCTGCAGCTGGACTAGATCCAGCTAATACTAGCTACGTGGAGGCACATGGTTCAGCTACCGCCGTCGGAGACATCACGGAAAGTCGCTCTATTGGAGCAGTCATCGGCAAGGCTAGAGAAGCCCAAGGCCGCGGTCCAGTAATCATGGGCTCCATCAAAGCCAATCTTGGTCATTTAGAAAACGCCAGTGGCCTAGCCGGCCTGATTGAAGCGGTGCTGGTTTTGGCCAACAGAAAAATCCCACAAGCAGTAGGCATGCAGCGTCCAAACGAAAACATCCAATGGAAAGAATGGAATGTGGATGTTGCAACTCAGCCCCGAGAGCTGGACTGCTTACAGGTCTCTGTGAATAGCTTTGGCTTCGGTGGCACCAACGTCCATTTAGTCCTTGACAGATCACATGAGACGGAGCGTTCTTGTGATTCCTTAGATATCCATTCTGGGTCCCTCGTATTTGTTCTGTCGGCTCGTTCAAGCGAATCCGCGCGTCTCAGAGCTGAGCAGTTACTGAAATATCTGGAGCGTGTTGATTCAGATAGAGAAAGCAGTTTCTTGAACTCTCTGGCATATACGCTCTCGGCTCGTCGCTCGCTCCTTTCCTGGAAAGCTGCTGTTGTAGCCAACTCGATGGCACAACTTCGTGAGAGCTTACATTCTATCAACTATTCGCACCATAAGGAGCCACCTCGTATCGGATTCGTCTTTACCGGCCAGGGAGCGCAATGGGCCACGATGGGCAGAGACCTTTGGGAAAGTAACGCAGTGTTCCGTGACTCTATTGTAACTGCCGAGAAATGTCTCATTGACCTAGGTGTCGTTTGGAAGCTTACCGACGAGCTATGGAAACCCGCCAATGAGACAGGGCTTAATGGCGCAGCTATTGCGCAGCCGGCGTGTACAGCAATTCAGCTGGCATTAGTTGACCTGCTGGCGTCCTGGAACATCTACCCTACCGCTGTGATCGGCCACTCGAGTGGTGAGATTGCCGCCGCCTATGCCTGCAAAGCAATCTCGTTCCGCGACGCGGTCCTTTCTGCGTACGCGCGAGGCTGTGCAGCAGGTCAGATTGCCGCAGATAAGAGTGTCAGTGGTGCCATGATCGCTGTTGGTTTGAGCCCGCATGACGTGCAGCCCTATATCTCTGCCTCTTCCGAAGGTGACGGCCTTGTCGCAGTCGCCTGCATTAATAGTCCGGAAGCGGTCACAGTCTCCGGCGACAAGGATGCTGTCGACATCTTGGAAGGGAAACTGCAGCATGATGGCATCTTCTGTCGTCGACTGCCAGTCGATGTAGCCTATCATTCGTACCACATGATGCGGGTTACAGGTGAATATCACGATGCTCTTGCAACCATGGAAAAGGCACGTTCTAATCCAGCGATATCGTTTTTTTCGAGCGTGGCCAATAAATTGATCGACGGAGCTGAGCTGGGTCCCCAGTACTGGGTGCAAAATCTTGTCTCGCCTGTTCTTTTTTCGAGTGCGCTAGAGAAGTTGGTGTCCGCAGCGGAACCCCAGGTCTTACTTGAGATCGGCCCCCATGCGGCATTGAAAGGCCCTGTCAAGCAGATTCTCAAGGCCGGGGCGAAGGAGGTCCCCTATACTTCTACTCTGCTCCGCAACCAGGCCGCGCTTCAATGTCTGACTGAGCTTGCGGCGCAACTATTTTCTTACGGCGCAGAAATCGACGTTGATAAGGTGAATTCCATGTCGACTTCCACACAAAACCGTACATGTCTTGAAGACCTTCCTACTTATCCATGGGATCATTCGTTGGCCTTCTGGCACGAGAGTCGACTGAGCCGCAACTATAGGAACCGGACGGAGCCACCGCACAGTCTCCTCGGAGTCCTCAGTACAGAATCGAGCTGGTTGGAACCTCGATGGCGGAACCATATTAGTCTCGCTTCGCATCCATGGCTGGCTGGCCATCGGATTCAAGGGGACGTGGTCTTCCCTGCAGCAGCTTTCATGGCAATGGCCATTGAAGCAGGATACAAGTTGGCGATACAGCAGCTCGGGGAACGCCAATGTGAGCCGGAGTGTTCTATTGAACTAAGCCATGTCTCGATCAGTAACAGTTTGACTATTCCAAGCTCCGGGTCGGTTGAGCTTATGTTTATCCTACGACCAGCGACGGAACTCGGTGGACGGGATCTCGCGCGCCGCCACGAGTTCGTCGTCTACGCTTCTTCCGACGCAGTAAACGTCGTAGAACACTGCCGTGGATTCGTGAAAATTGACTTCGACGACACCAGGTCATCGCCGAGCTTATTGGAGGCCCAATTTGATCAAGCCACATTACCTACCGTTCGGCTTGACGGATGGTATAATGATTTGAGGCGAGTTGGCATCGAGTATACCGGCCTATTCAAAGGGCTAGCTACAGCAACAGCCGGCCGTGGATATTCCCGCGCCACGATTGCATCTTTTCCACCTTCGGGTGAATACAATGCTAGCCTTCACCCTGCTACTTTGGATCTGTGTCTGCAAACGATGCTTGCAGCAATAGACTCCACGGACCCTATCCGGGGCCCTATCATGCCCACCTTTATACAAAGAGCCTCTGTGAGCATCGGTAGCCGATTTGACAGCCAAAGCAGCATGCGGGTCTCTTCCAAGGTGAAGAAGCTATCCGAGCAGAAGCTTTCTGCCGATATCGAAGGCACCAGGACCGATGAAAATGGAGAAAACGCAGCGATTGTCCTCTCATTACAGGGCTTGGAAGCCACGTCACTGAGCCTTTCTTATAAAGAATTAGACGGATCCGACCAAGTGAAGGCCTGTCAAAAGCTTGTCATGATGCTCGACCCGGATTACCTGACTAACGCAGCGGTCAATGAAATCTGCAATAAACCCCTTCCTCCGATCTCTGTGCAGGCCAAACTAGCAAATCTGCGTGATGCCTGTCGCATTTATGCGCGAGCGGCTGTGAAAGAGATATCCGATGATGATGTGAAGGGCATGACAGATTTTAGAAAGCAGTACATGAGCTGGCTGCGGAAGCAAGCCGATTTGTGTCCACATGATGGTTCAACAGAGCTACTGCAGCAATTGAGAACATCTGACGCAGAAGGAGAAATGGTCTGTCGCATAGGGGATAATTTGATTTCCATTTTCAAGGACGTCCAGGATCCTCTATCCTTGATGGTCGAGCAGAACCTCCTTTATCGCCTATATGAGGACGACCATAGTATGAAAAGGTGTGCCATTCAAGCTGCGGAGTTTGCCCGCTTACTTGCCTTGAAGTCCCCAGGCCTGCGCATTCTCGAGATTGGTGCCGGGACAGGAGGAGCCACACTTCCTGTCTTGGAAGCGCTGAGCAGGTCGGGTCAAGCTCTGTGCTCTCATTATCGTTTTACTGATATCTCCGTTGGTTTCTTTGGTAATGTGGAGAAGAAACTGGAAAGGTGGCACGGGCTCGTTCAATACCAGAAGCTGGACATTGAAAACGATCCAACGCAACAAGGCTTTGAGCCGGCGGACTATGACATTGTGATCGCGGCTAACGTCCTTCACGCTACTACCTATATTGAAAAGACAGTCAAGAATGTCCGGCAATTACTGAAGCCGGGAGGAAATTTGCTGCTGCTCGAGAGCACACAACCGACTGTCCATCGTTCATTCGTCTTCGGCCCACTCCCGGGTTGGTGGTTAGGATCGACGCAGCGCAACAAGGACAGCCCATTGCTAAGCGAGCAAGAATGGGACCATACTCTCCGAGGCTTCGGATTCAGTGGCGTGGACTCGATTTTGCATTCTTATCCAGACGTTGAAGACCAAACGGATAGTTTGATTGTCTCCACTGCGAGGCTCGATGGCAGGCGATCAATCGATGCGGCTAAATTGGCTCTGGTTTTGACACACGGTCAGTTACTACTACAGGATCAGAGCCTAGGCTACCAGACTGCCCAGCACATCTCTTCCAAGCTGTCTACTAGCTCTGTCGAGATTCTCTCTCTCGGTGACAATCGGCTACAAGATCGAGCGTGCATCATGTTGGCCGATTTGGACGGGCCGTTGTTAAACAATTTGGAGCAAACGCTCTTTGACGACTTAAAATACACTCTCAAAACAGCATCTGAAGTCGTTTGGGTGACACGGGGAGCGACAGATCAAAGCCACAATCCGATGTCGAGTTTAGCTACCGGGCTGGTACGAGTGCTGAGAAATGAAAATCCTCATGTTCCGGTCGTCACTATCGACCTTGATCCAGACAATCAGACAGTGTCCCAGGATATGGCAGGAAAGGTTTGCACCTTCATGCACGGCTATATTTCTAGCCTACGCAGTGATGATATGGAATGGTGCGAGCGCAACGGGAATTGGTTCGTTCCTCGTTTGGTTGAGGACACGGCCACAACAGATTTTGTTCGTTCCCATTCTACGATCTCCCCACCTAATGTGTCTCAGCTGGAGCCTTTCTACCAAGAAGATCGACCCCTACGTCTAAGCGCGAGACATACAGCGGGCTTGCAGGGAATATCATTTACTGATAATCCCGATCTCGAAGCACCTCTTTCTGGGGACGAAATTGAGATTGAGGTCAAGGTATCTGGTGTCAACTTCCGTGATATCATGGTCTCCCTGGGGCAAATGCCAGACGAAAACGTTGGAGAGATCGCTGGTATAGTGTCAAAAGTTGGGCGAGATTCGCAACTCGAATTCGCGGAGGGAGATAGGGTTTACACATGGCACGTGCCTCGATTTGCCAGTCACGTTCGATGTCCCTCGTTGAACGTTCAGCGCATTCCAGCGGATGTTTCCTTCGAACAAGCAGCATCTATCCCTATAATCTACTGTACAGCCTATCACTGTCTCATAACTGTGGCGCAACTGCGTCAAGGTGACACTATATTGATCCATTCCGGTGCCGGAGGAGTCGGTCAGGCCGCCATCATTCTTGCGCAGTACTTGGGAGCTACAGTATTCACGACCGTGGGCACAGATATGAAGAGACAGCTGCTTATTGAGCAGTACGGCATTCCAGAGTCTCATATCTTTTCCAGCCGGTCGACCAGATTTGCTAGCGAAATCGATGCTGTCACTAAAGGTCGAGGCGTAGATGTTGTTCTAAACGCTCTATCGGGTGCTTACTTGCAGAGCTCTCTTGACGCATTGGCTCCTCTAGGCCGATTTGTGGAGATTGGCAAGAGCGATATTCTTGCTCATGCTCGCCTTGACATGAGTACCTTCTCACGCTCAACATCTATATCTGCCGTCGATCTTGTTCAGCTGATGCGAGAAAGGCCGCAGTACATGGCAGACACCTTTTCTCGGGTAAACCAGATGCTAGCCGAAAATCAAATCAGACCTGCGTATCCTCTCAAGTCTTTCCCCATTTCGGGGTTAGAGCAGGTATTCCGGTCGATTCAAAAGGGGGAAAATGTGGGTAAGCTGGTCATTACGCATGGTCGCGATGACGAAGTCAGGGTTTTACCACGGGCATCTCCTGTGGTCCGGTTGCGACAAGATGCTACTTACCTCGTTGTTGGTGGCCAGGGTGGTCTGGGGCGTGCTCTCGTTGTTTGGATGGCAAGGTGTGGTGCTCGATGCATCGTTTCTTTGTCTCCCTCGGGTGCTGAGAAACCTCTTACGCGGGGTCTTATTGAGGAGCTGGCACAGATGAAGGTTGATTTCCACGCGATCTCGTGTGACATTGGAGATCGTCACCAGCTTCAGTCTGTCTTGACGGAAAGGGCAAAGGGTCTACCTCCTATTTACGGCATCATTCATGCTGGCCTGACGCTAAGGGTAATTAACTAGGTGCAAATAATGTACGTCACGGTGTGCTGACTTGGTTGCAGGATTCCAGTTTCGACAACATGACACTTGGATCTTTCCAGCAGGTGCTACAGCCCAAAGTAACGGGAACTTATAACCTTCACGAATGCCTTCAAGACGAGCCTTTGGACTTCTTTATCATATTTTCATCCTATGTCGGATTGGTCGGCAGCACTGGCCAGGCGAATTATGCCGCAGCATCTACTTTCCAAGATGCCTTTGCGCGGTGGCGGACGAGTCTCGGGAAGCCCACATTTTCGCTGGATCTTGGAACTATTAGAGGCGCCGGATATCTTCATGAGAACCCTGAAGCCTTCGCCCACCTTGGGAAGATGGGCCTCGGGGAAATACCTCTCTCTGCGCTATACGCTCTTGTTAGCTATACCATGTCAAATCCTCCCTCGCATTATTCCGACAGCCAGATTGCCATCGGATGGGCGCCACCTGCCACATGGTCTCAAGCTCAGTACGCTGCTTTAGACCCTCTCGTTTCGCACCTTTGCCTATCATCGGCGCATCCAGCCGAGAAGCAATCGCGAAAAGACTCAGGCGTCGATATGCAGGATGTACAAGGGGCTCAATCTCTCTCTCAAGTCCTGTCCCGCTGTCAGACCCCGAAGGAACGTACCTCTGCCATCATCGAGGCTCTGACTGCGCAGATTGTTGCCATTCTCGGGGTCGCCGCAGAAGATGTGAATTCTGGGAAATCAATCGGAGACCATGGAGGTGATTCATTGGTCGCTATTGAGTTCCGCAACTGGTTCCGTAACGAGGTCGGCTGTATCTTCACCACCCACCAGGTGGCGAGCCAGCTTTCTGTGCAGCAGTTGGCTGTTCAAGCTGCTGGATGAGTGATGCGGTATCTGGTGATAGTGCATGGATCATCTGTTTTTCTTGTTTCTGTGTTTCAGTTTCTAGCGCGTTGAAATTCAGATTGGACAACACGTGAGATTCGAGATATATTTGACAACTAGTTAGATATAAATTCATTTCCTCCACATAAGCTAATACCTACATATACCTCCCCACCACAGTACGGGAAAACATGTTAAAAGGGACAAGAAGGTGGTCGCTGAGAAGGCAAAACCCTCCAAAGAAGGCCTGGTTCTGAAATGCCATTGTTCCATATTGAGTACTATATCTGTCAAGTGCTGAGCTGCTGAAGACAAGAGCCTGGCTCGGGGCCATACCATTGCTGGTGTGTTTCGTTGCTTAGCCTTAGGTATTTAGCGGCCTGTCTTTGATTTTAGTTCTAATTCTTCTTTTGATTGTTGTCTTGCCTTTTGTCACGGTACTAAGAGGTTTCGGCCCTTTCACCCTATTACTATCTCACATGAATCTTCGCTAGAGTAGGCGGTTTCGAAAACCGCGTCAAACTGTAGCTTAATACCGCAGACGCAACTCACTGTCATATTAAGCCTGGCCCATCATCAGTTATTCACAGACTTCATTTGTATCATCAACCTATCATTCGTACCCCCCGGCCTAACTGAAATCCTTCTTCTCTTCGAGATCGGCTCATCACTGTGCGCCAATTCCATTTCGAACGTCGTCACCAGAGCAGCCACCATCGCCCTAAAGTTCCGCTTTGGCAGATCCCGACCCCATGCAATTATGCCGCCCATGGAGGAACGACAATATGGCGTAGCTGCTCTCTGCGCCACCTTTTCTGTTGAGCTCGCCCGTCGTCTCATCGATCCATCGTTCTGGTCTGAATTCGTTGGCAGTCGGCCCCCATAGGTATGGAGCCCGGTTGATCGCGCATGTAGGAATCATTACTCTCGTTCCTTTGGGGACGGGGCAGTCCAGGATGGAAGTGTCTTCTGTTGCGACGCGGGGAGCGACGGAGATGGAAGGATAGAGGCGAACAGTCTCGTTGCAGACGGCGTTGAGAATAAGGATGTGTTCGAGACAAGCTGCGATGTCTGGACTTTCTGTGGCCCACTCCTCCGGAGAGGCGCAGGACAGGATCTCTGCACGGAGACTAGCCTGAATTGTTGGATGGCTGGCGAGGAGATAGATTGCCCATCCCAGTGCACCGGCGACTGTTTCATGTCTTTGGGCTGGGTTAGATCTCATGTCTATGAGGTTCAATTGGTAGAAATAGGGGTTTCTGGTACTCACCCGGCCACTAGGGAAGTAAGTGACTGGTCCACGAGCTCGTCATCCGTGACCTTGTTTGATTCTATGAACTTAGCCAACATACCCGGTGCACTGGTCTTGGAAGCTGCCCTAGCCTGTCTATTTTCTGCGATAGACTCGCGACAAAACCGCCTGAGGTAGTCAGTTGCCTTGGAAAACTCGCCATCCACAGTCCACGGAATATAACCACTCAGCCAGTCCAACCGGCACGAGATTGCGACATATAGAAAGCTCTTTCTCCACGTCGGCGTAAGCGCAGTAGTATAAGCCTCTTGGATTGCCACACGCGATCTACTAATCATCTTCAGATCGCGCCCGAGCCCAGCAGTCCCAAATATATCCAACGTTACCCGAGTAGCCCACACATTCATATCCACCACGCCTTATCCGTTGTATCCTGGTTGCGACTCAATCTCGCTTGCAATTCCCCGAGCCATCTCCATACTTCTGCTCCATGACAATGGCGCAAGCTGCCTGGTATGTCGCAGGGTGAAGTTCGGCGTGATATGTCTGCGCTGGATCTTATGGGCGTCGCCCTCGGCGGCAAGGATACCACCTCTTCCTACAACCGCGATCGCAAATTCGCGATATTTCCATGGTTTCTCGAACATGTATGGCCTTTTGGATAGGACTTCTTTGAGGGCGGCGGTGCTGGTGAGCAGTAGGTGTGCTGAGTTGAACAGGTCGCGCATTAAAATAATTCCTTCGTTGGGTACCTCTTGCATGAATCTCATGTATTCTTGCCCGATCGGCTCTGTGAATCCGGTGAATGCGTGGCCAAGTATAGGGTAACCTCCCTGGCGCTTTCGTCAGACTAAATTCACAGAAGTTTACGGGGGTGTCTGTGTACAGGCAGAAGACTCGAGGCTTACCGGGGCTCGCGGAAGGAACCTGAGGGGACTAACGAATCGAGGGTATATGAAGAGTTTGTGCACAATGAAGAATGCGATAGAGGAGCAGACGAGCAACCTCAAGTGTGGGACATTGCCCAAGAGGGCGCCTGATTCCGTCTGTGGATTTCCGTCGGTCCCATGGAGGGTGGTAGTTGGTTGGTGGCCCTCCATTCCTAGAGATACTCGAAAGAAACAAACAATAACGAAAGCACACCATTGGTTTAATCTATATTCCCCTTGGAGGTTGCAAGGAAGGGGTCTTATTCATTTCTATTTTGAGAATGTCAGCGAGGTTGCGCTCGATAGTCTCCATAACGTGTCGATCAGATCAGAAGGGGAACAACAGTGCCATGTCATCTGAACCACGCTCCCAAGCTCTATTCGTTGGACTTTTTCCGAAGAGAACTATCACATACAATCGCCATATCTCCAAGCTAGGGGGTCTACATTATTGCGTATCCTTCCTGCATTGGTAGTATCGAATGCGGCCCGATGTGGTTATGGACGCTGATCTGTGGATGTGTATGAATTATTCTCTCCAAAAGGGTATTTATTAAAGAAGCTTGACGACCGAGTATAGGAGCCTGTCAAATGGGACGTAATCCTTATGCCATGCTGCACTTATTCAATATAATGCAGATCTGTGTGAGTTCGTAGGCTGATTTACATACAAATTCGGCATTAATACTGAAGGAGCGATATCATGTTTCATTTTTGACAAAGGCTGCCTGAAACGTCGTTTGTCTTGGTGAAAGCTCTTTCAAGAGACATGTCAGATACCCCTTGGACATCACAATGTGATAGGTCAAGCCTCGAATGCGGGATCTACTCGGTCGGAGTCGGTTTTGAAAATAGATTCCCAAAGATCCACGGCGGAGATCTAACTTTTCCGATGTTATTTGCGCACAGCTGCTAAGGGCGCTAGATTCTAGACGGCAGTCGCCGGAGCTTTGATAATTCGAACCTCCTAACACGTTATGGAGACTACTTGAAATCCTGATCGTCTTTATTCGGAAAAGCTTGCAGGCAGGTTTATTCTCACCTACAAACAGCTGATCCTCAGAATCTCAAAAAACTTACCTACAAAAACACCACTTTTCAAACTCCGTTACTACTCACAATGCCCGGAAATTGTTTCCAGAACACCATCGGCTATTGCACCTAGGACTGCCCTGGCTGCCCCAACTGTCTTACCATGGCTCCTAGCAGGGGCGGAAAATGCAGCTTTTATTACTCGCACACCGAGATCTTTGTTATGAGTAGTGGCTCTCGCGAGGATATGGAGCATTTGACCCGCAACGCTCAAGGGTCTGGTACTTTCGAAGACCTCAAAGACAAGGAGGCAGGAGTAGTTTCCTTTCTGCACTCCCACATAATCTGGTACGTTTCTTGCTGGCCTAATTCACGCAAGCTTACAGTATGGACAAGGGCAGCAGGACACATGTGCAATTCTAGTTGGGACCACCGCACTACCAGCAGAGTAGGATATTTACGGTTAGGCTGTGGTTTGGTTGTCGAGGCTGAAGATCTTAGCTGCTCTGGTCAAATAATCAAACTCCCTTATAATAGGAAGAATGTCTACTGTCTACATGTGTGATACTGTCAGCGAATATGGGGCAATTTTACCGCCAGGATTCAACACCTTGCCGTTTCCGTCTAGATCAACTCTGACGGCATTTCATGGCTTCGAGATAAGCCGATTTCAAAGAAGCCACGTAGTCATATTGCATGTTAAATAGCTTCGTTTCGATCCTCTAGATCAGGAGGATCAGACCTTCATTGAGCCTCGATTCTGCATACAAAGTACTAGGCAATACGAAACCTTATTGTTCCAATAGATACGAATCTATGAGATTACGTGATCTAGCGGCTTGGCCCACACACTCAAACCCCTGAGGAACTTACCCCTCTCATCCACGAGATTAGAGAAGAAGAGATCAATCGTTATGCGAGACAATTAAGAGCCCTATCATTCAAAAGGCATTCGCTCCTTAGTAGGCTACGTGCGTATAGCCGATACAGTGTCATTCTGCCCTTCTTCCCCTGTGCATTTCATAACAATGTGTAATAGGACTTCACTCAGCTAATGCATTTATTCAACCTTCTAAAAATCTTTATATAATACTAAATGTGTGTGGCTTTAGAGCTTCATTTCTATATAGCTGCTGAGGTCAAGTTCGTGCGTCAGGTGATCAAGTACGGTATACGAAGAAACAATTGATTTTCAATCAACTTGTTCTTCTCGTTGTATATATAGCCTCGTGTTTTCCCTCGGAATTCAATCAATAATCCTTCGAACTACAATACATGCAACAAACAGGCCTGCTTCAGCAATCCCGATATGCGTTTAGCCAGGAAGACACAAAGGTGGCCGCATAACCAGACAGCCTACTTGAAAGTCTCGAGCAAGACGACGAAGACGCTGGTTATAGCGAAGCCGACAGGTAGAGGTGTGGTCTCGCCTCTGCCAGTGACGCACAAAAAGGACCCCGGGGACGAAACAGGTCCCTAGAGACGAAGCACCAAAATAGAACGGGGTAGAAGGAGTATGCAGCGCTGCGATGATGTATATCAGTAGACATGCAGCGGGCGTGTGGCAGCTGTAGTTAGTTTTGTTCTGCTTTTTGATTGTCTACTGCATTTGTGGGATTTCGGATAGGCGTTTGGACATGCAAGATTCTGCTTCATTCGGAGAAGCGTCTGCATAGCTTGTTGCACAATAGATAGGCTTCATCAAGTTAATAGAACTTTGATTGATTGATTGATTGATTGAGGAAGGCTACGAGCGAAACACGCGAATAGGCAACCACGACTAATATATTGCTATAGACAGAGTCATGAACCAGTCAAATAATGCGCTGATATTCTCGAAATATCCAAGAGAAGAGTCACCGATCTGAAGCTTAATCATATCCTGTATTACGAGCTTTGGTAGTGAGGTCGTCAGCCAACGGGCTGATCCTCACATGCCATAGCCGCCAGCGTCTCCCGCACTAGCCTGCGATTTCGATACAAAAACCAATGGTCTCCGTCCACTTCGATGAAATGAAATCTCTTCGCATGAGCTCGCCAGTCAGTTACCTCCTCTGGGTACACAACGTCATCCTGACGGGCGGTAACTCCCGTGATGGTTGTATCCAAAGGATCCTCTTCTTTGTACTGATACTTGAGCAGTAGAGGCGCATCCTGCCTCATCATGGGCAAAATTGAACGAAGAAAGTCCGCATTATCAACATACCGTGCCACAGCCAGAAGATATTCGGGACTGATATCGTCCCGAAAGCTTTCGATCAGGATATCCCGCTTTTGCCAGGTGTATATCCGATGTGGAGCAATCGTGCCAGTGACGAACAGACGTGGTAACGGCTTGCCCTGTCGTCGGAGAACACGAAGCACTTCAAAGGCAATTATTCCGCCAAATGAATGGCCCCAGACGACGTGGGGGAATCCGACCACGTTGTCCATCTCCGCCATGATGTTGGACACGATCTCGGATACGCTGACAACAGGGGGTTCCTCAGCGCGGGTCTCACGACCAGGTAGTTGCACGGCTATCGGATCTAGCCCGTCCGGAGGATCTATTAGGAAGGGGGTGAAAAGGGATGCGCCGATCCCCATCGAGTGGATACATAGAAGGCGGGGACAGTTGGCGTTGGCAGGATTACCCCGAACAAACCAAGGCGAAAGAGTAGTCAGTCCATCGTAAGGCATGAGATCAGGCCGATTGTTCCCGTTATCAGTGGGGCCTTCTATCACAGGCTGGTCGTTATGAGATATTCCATCCAGCTCGATGGCAATCTGACGCAAACTTGGCCCCTGAAAAAGCCTTATAAGAGGATACGGCACTCGAATCTCTCGCAGGATCAAACTGCGCACATGCGTGAGAGTAAGAGAATCAAAAGAATACTCGTCAATCTTCTCAGTTGGTGAGATCCGGGTAGTGTTCACTCCTAGTATCCTCGCCAATCCCGACTGCAGCTAAAAACCCCAGGTGTGGTCGGATATGCCTGTACCTGCCCATACATCGTATTTCTCTACAGGCCATGCACATTTATGTTCTTACGTCGTCGTGTGGGGTCGGCAAATGGCTCCGGGCGAAGGCATCTATGCCACCAGCTACATCGCGCGCGATGGTGTGGCTTTACACTCTTCCTGCGACCCAAGATCCCTGAAGTTAGACTACTTTGACGCGTCCTCCCCAGAAGGGGTCAAAGTCACGATTAAGTCAACTCAAGGCATCCTTGTCCTCACGGCCCTCCGGAAGGGAACGGTTGTGGAGGACCCGTCAGCTTTCAGATCTACCGTTAGCATTACAGGCGCTTTCAACAGCGAAGCTGTGGAAGGATCAGGTGCTATTGAGCTCTATTTACCGGAAGGCACCGTGGATGTTGGAGAGGAGCTGCATGACGAGTTGTGAAATACAGCGACTGGGATACAGGTCATCAAGCAAAAGAAGCGCGGCGGGTGGGTCTATGTTATCTTGGAAATGTATCCTATGCATAGACCATCTACGTACTCTACTCAGCTCCTAGAGCGAGGTGTTATTTTGACTTGGGTAGTTAGTCGTTTGGCTGGACTTGGAGAGAGGATGAGGTATCTAAATTGCCCTACGAGAGAATCAAATCTATATTAACAAACTACTCTCTTCATGACCCGGGGACAAGCCCCTATTGTCAAAGTTAGGCCTAGAAAAAGCAAATAGATAGACTGAAAGTGCCATTCTTACCTTCTCGCATGCTATAGGCCTTGACAATCGTTAAGCTGATAAAACATTCTCGATTAACCGCCACCATCGAAGTTTTATTCACACCAAGGGCTGTATATTCTGCTCATAGTGACAAGCCAGATTTCTACTTATCACGACGATTCGTTTGGATATGATTTCTTGATATATTTCACAGCAATGGGGCAGGCCTCCTCCCTCACCAGAGTGGGCTTCATGCATTCAATCTGTTCCCCAACTTGGACGACTAATACATGGCCCAGAAATAATGTTTTTGCCTTCTGGCACGTTCAGTAATCTATGTTTTGAAGGTCTACAAGACCGGCATCCATATTCCGCAAATAAAAATATTGCGAACGTGGCTTCTCGTCTAATTCAAGACGTTGAGAAATGAACAACTCAGGCTTCGGCTATCCTGATCGTAGGGCTGGGGAGGCGGACATGTTCTAGATGGCTGATTTCTGAAAGATGACGGTCTCTCAGGAAATTAACTGCACTTCTTTCAGGATACTGACGCCTTTCTCGATATAGGGCTATAGCTTATTAACACGAATAAGTAAAAGTGTAGTCTTGTAGTATAGCGCGTATTGATTCTTTTATTTAGGGTTTATAGTTTCTATCGCTATGACTTAGATACTAATCCCGGTATCGGGAATGAACTGAATAATGCTGCTGTCTACATACATGTGCGTCTTATTAATGAAGATATTAGACCAAGAAAGCCGACAAAACGAAGAATTACCTGTGTCACTCAGTCTGTAGTGAGGCCTTATTTCGGACGCCTGCGCCCGAAAGATACCACATGGCCGCCTGATGATCAACACCCCTTCCCTGGTTGGTGGATATATGAATACACGAAATTGTATCCTGGAGGAGGAGAAGGACAAGGAGAAATGAAAAAAATTAAAATCCAGGGGTGTCTTGGGAGACAACTTCTGTGCATATGTGACCTCGCTCAGGCATGCGGTATCACCCGTTGCCACCTAGTTTTCTATTGGATCATGAAGGTTTCGTACTGCCTAGTAACTTGTATGCAGAATCGAAGCTCAATGAAGGTCTCATCACCTTGATTTAGACGATCGAAACGAAGCTATTTAAAGTGCAATATGACTACGTGGCTTCTTTGAAATCGGCTTATCTTGAAGCCATGAAATGCCGTCAGAGTTGATCTAGGCGGCAAGTGGTAAGGTGTTGAATCCTGGTGGTAAAATTGCCCCATCTTCGCTGACAGAACAACTTCTCTGTTAGTTAACTAGTTACATCAGTAGCTAAGTTTTGCTAGAAAGGGGTCTCTGCAAGATGATCAGCTCTAGACAGCCGCAGGCCTTCGCTGGTTAAAAGAGGTGTTTGAACCGTCCTCTAGGCACTCTATGACTGGTGCTAAGCGGTTGCTTATTCTAGATGGCCATAGTAGCAATGCAATCGCTCATATTCAACATCTTGAAAAAGCTGCGCAAATGGCTATGCATACCAGCCTTGTTTAACAGCAAGAAATCAAGGTTTTGCGAGCTGAAAATGATGAAAATACAAAAAGAAGACAAAAAGAAGACAAAAAGGCGTGCTCTAATAAGGAATGATATCCTTTTATCTGTTCAGGAAGGCCAAAATCGCGTTCAGCAGCTTGATACGCAGCTTAATGAGCAACCCGAGCAATCTACTCCTGTACCTCGTCCACGAGATCCCCAACGCTGCAGTGGATGTGGGATAGTTGGACATACTTTAAGATATTGCCCTAGCAAATAGCTATCATTTCATATATTTATTTAGTCAAATTTAATGGTGTTGGTGGTTAAAATACTGCAAATTGTAGTGGATGCGGTAAAAATCCGTCGCTCGGTGGTTGATTACGTTAACTAGTCAGTACTTTAGTTATGCCTTTAATGTGAGGAAGCCTGGAATCCGTGGCCGAAGACAACCGATAAGAGAGGCAGAAACCATTTCATGTAGCAAATCTGGGGGTGGGCGGGTGTGGTAGAAATCGTGTGGGTCTACCGAAAAAGTGATTATTCAACCAATTTTATAACGTAATTCCCAACCGAGCGGGCTACCGCGTATTGCACATAAATCATGACTGTTTTATACTTGAGAAGCGGGCAGAGCAAGCGTTTTTCTCCACTGAACCATGGAGCAGCCTGGGACTTGATCCATTGGGTGTTGAGATTGAAAACCTTCGAGTATTCCTCCAAGAGCTTCTGGATAGTCATATTGAACGTGAGATACCCAATGTACGCGAGGAATTGCGTGAGCTCCTTGAACGAAATTGCCAGGATCTTGCTGCTCTTGGAATGGAACGGAATACGGCTGGTCAGATTCGAATTTATTTGACGCAGATCAGCGCCGATTTCCACGGGTTGGTGCGAGCTGGTATTGATGGCGACTATGGTGGCCGGATGCGAGTTTTTTCAACGTCCAAGGCAAGGATTTTGCAAACCGGCTGCGCGTTGTCGTCCATCTAGAGAATGACAATTTTGCGAATCATATAAGAGAATACGGTCAGACACAGAAAGTTGTTAGTCGGGAGGACGATCAGACTTTCGTGTCAAATGATCAGACGATAGAGTTATCTCTCAACGAGGAGGGTCAGATTCTTGTTAGTAAGGAAGGAATGGCTGTGTGGGTCAAAGAAGTGAGTGGAAAGACTATCGACCGTGGATCCTTTTCTAATATTACTAGGTCTATTATCGGACGCGAGGCAGGGAATTACCGGGAAATTATAATCACGCCCTTCTGGCAGAGCTTTTCCATTCGTAGTCCATGCGTTGGGGCAAGATCGCTCGTGAGCATGTGGACGCCGTCGCAAACCTGATCTCCACGTTCTTACAAGCAGCACTGAAGTTTGTGATCAAAGATATTAAAGTCCGCGAAAATGTCCAAAATTGCGTCGAGAAGTCTGTTCAAGGAAACATCAAGCGCGCGATCGATGAATTGAACGTGCTGCTTGAGGACGAGGCGCGTCAGCCCATCACGTATAATCATTACTATACAGACAACATCCAGAAAGCTCGAAATGGCCAGTCAAAACATCAGATTCAAGATTCAATGCACAACGCTATCCGAACCGACTGGGATGGGAAATTCCATGTGAGCAGCAACTCGTCCGATGAAATAGAAAAGCTCGTGACTTCGCTCCAGCAGCGGATGGTCGTCGACATGACGAAGCAAGCCTGCTCCGAAGCACAGAATGACCTTACTGCACACTACAAAGTCAGTGTACCTTTTCTCATGGCAATACTTTGTGCTAAAATTTGTATCTTCCAGGTTGCCATGAAAACATTTGTCGACAACATTTGTAGACAGGTCATCGAACGGCATATCATCTCGAAGCTTCCAAGCATTTTCGAGCCTGTCCTTGTGAGTGGATATGAGACTGGGGTATTGCTTCGAATGGCTGCAGAGTCTGTGCAGGTTAGTATCCGCCGGGATGAAGCACGTCATCTCCGGGAAGTATTAGAGAAAAGCCTTGAGGATCTGAATGTTTGATGGGTAGCCGCGGGCTTCAGGCTAGGCTCTTTCTCACGAAGTTTTCCCTTGCCTCTTCGCGAATGCGGGAGCTTATGTACATGTGCCATTGTTTTTGTCGTGCTTATCTTGCGGTACACGTTCCTAAAATTAATTATACTTTTCGTCTTTGAACCTGGGGTTTCACTCCGTGTGCACGTCCGTAGGCCAGAGATTGTCCCTCGTTTGTTGCACGTGTGTATAGTGCTGCCACCAAAGCTCAGACTTTATCAAAGAGCTCGAAGGGTCCTTAAATGTGACGTAGTCCGTTACCTTACCCTATTGTGGCCAGGACGTGCCCGAAAGATCGCGAAGGAGACGCGGTGCCTTGATTTTGATCTTAGCGGAAGCAAATTCTACACTCAGAGATTCATTCTCGAGGGAGAAATTTTGTGAGGGTCTTGCATATAGTTATTTTATAGATACTGTCTCAAGACGAATCGACGATATCAGAAAGTAAAGTTGACTCTAGATACAAGGCTTAGCGCGAGGAAGCAAAAAGAAACACAGAAATTCCCATGAGTACATAACTAAATCTAGCCACGGTGAGTCGCCTACCGAAGCATCATCTCGTAAGCTGCTCTAAGACTTCTAGACCCGTTTGCTATACATAATCCTATATTGCCTATTTCTGCCAAAGGAAGGTTTTTAGATCAATACTGTACGCCAATCTCAGCCATTACGAACTCCTTGCCGTCTCAGTCAGATATCAAAACTCCAGTCCCCTCTGGTGGATCTGTATCGAAAAATCCTCACCCCAGCTCAGTCCAAGTTCCGATTAGGCGATCTACGAGGGTCACTGCAAAAATAACAGAGCTCACGCCTGCTCCTTAGCCGGAGTGTAAACCTCAAAATCGGAAGCGTTCATCCCGGAGAAATCTACATGCAAAAGAGCATTTACCTAGGAAACGAGGGGACAAGAAGTCAGCCGGCATAAAAGCTCCCAAAACGCCTCTGCTGCGTCGATCAAGGCGATTGCGGGCTCAATGATTCTGTCTTTTTTAAGCTTCACATGGACATGGTTGGCCTCTAACAGGCGTGGGTCAATATTTTCCATCTCGAGTTCGAGGGAGGCAGGAGTCTCAATTCTTTGACGATTCTCCGATTCCAAAGATTCTTCTCTGGATGAGATGTCGCTGCAGTTAGTCTGTGTCACCTGCGGAAGATGACACAATTTGAGATTAACATCATATGAGTGTGCATTATAAGCATAGGCTAAAAATCCGGTAATCTCGCCGAAATGGGGGACGTTACGGCATTAACGAAAGCCCCATCACTGAAAGCGGACGAGATTATCTGAGCGATCGGGCAATATGCCAGTTAATAGTCACCATGCATGAAAAACTTGGTTCTGAAAGTAAACATAAGCGTCATTAAATATAAATTTAAGGTACATTTGCATCCTTACCCATCAGCGCCTTCCGGTCGACCTTTGAGATTGCGGAACTCTATAATGGCACAGAGAACGTCACGTTTACTTAAAGGATCTTTCAAATAGAATAGTTCAATATCACGATAGCAGACTGAGTCCGGAAGGTCTTTCAAAATATACTTCGGAAGATCACTATCAAACGTGTGGGTTCGTTTACGTTTGCCAAGGGAGGAGTTGTCAGGTAAAGAGGTGTTGTGTGGAAGCAAGACACCGGGGCAAGTCCCGGTAATGGCAGACCATAGCTGTACTATAGCAAATATTGAACGATCATGTTTCCATGACGAAAAAACCTCGCATGGACCTAGTGATGACGGTAGATCGCACAGAAGACATCTACATCTAGGGTGTTCTTGTCCTTCGTTCGTCGGGGGATCCTGCGCACGGCCGGGAAGGGACCATCTAGAAACTATGCCATCATTAGCCCAATCTCTGCATGCATGGAAGAAATACTCGTACTCGTCGCATCTGTTTATGGACATCTTCATTGACACGGCGACGAGCAAACAGTTCGAAGTACTGGCAAAGGAGGCGCCAGTACTCATCGTAAGACTGCAGCCTCTTCTCTCGTATTGTTCTAAACATCCAGTCCAAAAAGTTCATGTAGATCGCTTGATCTTGTAAAAGAAGGAAGTCCAGATAGTCCACCTCCGACTGAATGGAAAACCTATTCTCATGAGTTGACCCTATCCATGGCGCCTGACTTTGGGGATATCCACACTCACTTTCGCCACTAGCGTTCGACAACGGCAATACCTAATAAGGTCCTTGGTTTGAAGTTTGGACGTAGCCATCCAGAACGACGGAAATGTTCTAGTCTGGCTCGAGTTTCCTCGCAAAGTAAGGGGTCGGTCCAGTATTGGTGCTCATCTTCCCGAATCGACTGAGCGAGCACAGGTGCCATTGAGAAAAACCAGGATGAATGACCGAGTGCGGATTGAAAGCACGGGCAACGAGGTTGTCAAGGTCGACTTGGAAAGGCGGGGTTGGAAATGAAGAGAGACTGAGGGACACGGAGACAGAGTGGAAGGGAGAAAAGGCATCTTATAGGCGCCCGGCCAGTCAAGACGAAAAGACAGGACGCCTGGACGGGGCTGCAAAGGGGAGCCATTTTCGGCGTCGTTTGGTCGCAGGTGGAATGGCAGGGTATGGATGACTGTCGCCAATTTCGTTGCCAGAGGGTGACTACCGTAGTTGATCACCTGACGCCCGTCCCCACCTGACGCCCGTTTTTCAACTCAGCGCCCATATAGAAATTGAAGC